AAATGTGAGCATTAACATACAGGGGTTTCAAATGGGAGTTCGCACCCTCTGGAATAGGAGGAAACACAATTGAAGGTGCTTCCGACTGAGGCTCAGAATCTGTAATCTTTGCCCACTCTGTTTCCTCTAATTCGCCATCTGCCAAGAATGCCCATAAAGGTTCGTCCATAATATCATCTACCAGACTCGCCCACGTCGGTTCATCACTCATCTGGTTAACCTCTGTCATTCGACAAGGGATTCGTGGTCCCAGACGAGATTTAACAGATCTTGAATTTTCCTCTGTAGGCACCACTTCTTCCTTCGTCTCATTTCGAGATTGAACCGTCAAGGATTCAATACGAAATTCTTCCAGAGATGGATTGATGTTGATCCGTTCACAATGTTGGCATCTAAAACCTTTAATTATTTCATCTGCCATTCCCTTACCTTTCCCCTGTCCCGACGAACTTCTTTTGGTATAGTCGGAAGCTCCTAATCCGTCCTTCGGTTGCTTTCCTGACCAGACCCGACTGGACCGACTTATTGGAGACTGAATGGCCGCTCCCTGCTCGTCGGTCGTTTGTTCTGTAAAGACTCTAATGGACTGATCTCCTGTCAAGTGGTCGGCCGCATTTTGTTCGTCGGTTCTTTGTTGCACTGCAGGAACTCGTTTCCCATACTTTGCAGCATACCTGCGTTTGGCATTGCGAATCTGTGTACGATTCATACCTGGGAAACGAGGATCTATATCAACGGGTAAAGGCTTTTTATTTCGAGCCCAATCGTTCCCGACTGAACCCGTTTTTCTGGTCGGGTGGTCTTTCACTAAAACCTTTTCCTTCACTTCCACGTTAAAAGAACCGTCTGGACGGTCCCATTTTTCAGCGACTGGCCTTTCAACAACCTTGAGTCGTTCTTCCGGTCGGCTGCTGTTTGGCTGATTCCCTTTCTTTTTTCCGGGACTAGTTTGCTCCCCTGTTTGTCCACTATTGACCGAACTTTTCCTTGTTTCCGAACTTGGTTGGATGTCAACCATTGCAGTTGTTAGTTTCGGAAATGGTTGCTGGTCTACACCTAAAGTGATGTATTTGAGCCGACCTGTCTTGATGGCTTTTTGAATTTCCTTCCTAAAATGAGTACACTGACTTGTAGTGTGTGTGAAAGAATTATGCCACTTACAATATGGTCTCCCTTTGATTTCTTCTTTAGTGGCAAGTCTTTGGCCCTTTGGAATACGAATCTGCCCATCAGTCAGTAGGATATCAAAGATTTCATCAGCTTTCGAACTATCAAAGGTCGGTTGCTCCTTTCCTTCAGATCCTGGTACTGGCTTCAATTTAGGACATACATACGGTTTTCCAGAAAGGATTTCGGCTGCCATCTCTTCTGACTGATTAAAATCAAAGTCGCATGTTTCTGTTCCCATACTCGCCATATGTTGGCCTCTATTACGCCTGTTATGCTGATCTTCCTCTCTGAACAAAGACTCTAGACGTCCTGCCTTGGATGCAAGATTTGCCAAATCCTCAACATCCAGGGCAGTGAGTGCCTTTCTTAAGCGATTATGCATATTCCGGACCACTAAATTGGTCATCTCTTTCTCACTGATTACCGTAGGACATCGTCCCTTCATCAATCGCACCCTTTCTATAAACTGTGAAGCAGTTTCTTCTGGATACTGTCTCAATTCAAGTAAATCAGTTAAAGAAACAACTGGTAAAGGATTAAAGAATCTAGCGTGAAATGCCATTTCCAATCCTTCCCATGTCTGAATTTGTCCAGGAGGTAGACTTACAAACCATGAAAACGCCGTTCTGGTAAGAGACAAACCAAACAGCTGTAACTTATAAAAAGGGTTATTGCCAACCTCTCCTAATTGTGCTGTGAACCGACCAACATGTTCTATGGTGGAAGATCCGTCCTCCCCTGAGAATGCATGAAAGTCGGGTGGTCGAAAATTCCTTGGGAGAGGGTGTTCATGAATGATCCTTTCTGGGAAAGGTCTTTGATATGCAGGGCGGTTAGCCATCTGAGGAGTTAATCCATACTGATCCCTTAATATATGTGCAATCTCATCAGGATCTACATGAAAGCGTTGATGATCAGGAACCTGGAACGGATCCTGCACAGGAATATGAATCGGATCATGTATATATCCTTCAGGCCTGTCCTCCCTTGTATTGTTCGGCTGCGAATTGGTAACCCTTGGTCCCAGTGGAACATTGTTGGGAAAAGTCAAAGGAGTTTTTCCCCGATCCATTCGGTTGGGATTTGTGGCACTTGGGAATGTACTATCCACGAATGATGGCCCTGCGAAATTTGCCTGTGGTCTGGACGGTGACACTCCTGGTGGCGTTTGAGTGGGTTGAAGACTAACCCTTGACAATGCTTGATCTATCATGTTCTGCAACTGACTCTGTTGCTCACGCAACATGTTCGTTTGTTGCTCACGCAACATATTCTGCATAACCAAGGTATGCTGGTTGTTCATTTGTTGAACATAAGACCACCAATCAGTTGGTGGTTGTGGGATGTCCCCGGCATTTGGCACAATGGGTGGTGGAACGGATTCTCCCACCGGTGTCGAAGATGCTTGCGGTTGTGACCCTGCCATATGGACCCTTCCGATGATTCGGCCGGATCTAAGACGTATGAAATTATCGCCGGAATTGGAATGAGCAATTTTGTCTTGCTCCCACTGTGGTCGCCAATTTGTTGATGTAATTTTTCAACAAAAATAAAGTAAAATTCAAAGATATAGAAAATATCCTTAAACTTGATTAATTAGTGCCTGAGATTAGGAATCTCTAAACACTGTATGATACAGAAAATAAACTGGAAAATAAAAGACTGAAATTTAAAGTGGTGATCCCCAAATCTGACTTTGCTTTGTTGAAGTTGATTGAAGATACCTTGCCAAATGATGATCCAAATCCTTAAATATTCCCTGGGAAACCGTACTGAAAACCGTCACCCGAACGGTTACAACGTCTCCTTCTCAACCGTCTTCCAACCTTTCTTATGCTGACACGTGTCCCCAGCAGACCAAAAATTCCCTATATTTCACTCCTTGAGCCGACCACAGACCTTCCGCTCTTTTGGCCCGACTGCCAATCTACAATAGTATGGGTCCGACCGCCAATCCTCCCGACTTGCGAACCATCTGGCTTGAGGTCTTTCCGCCTTGAGGACTTCCCGACCTGAAAACCTTCCGACTTGAGGTCTTTCCGCCTTGAGGACTTCCCGACCTGAAAACCTTCCGACTTGAGGTCTTTCCGTCTTGAGGACCTCCCGACCTGAAAACCTTCCGACTTGAGGTCTTTCCGCCTTGAGGACTTCCCGACCTGAAAACCTTCCGACTTGAGGTCTTTCCGTCCTGAGGACCTCCCGACCTGAAAACCTTCCGACTTGAGGTCTTTCCGCCTTGAGGACTTCCCGACCTGAAAACCTTCCGACTTGAGGTCTTTCCGTCTTGAGGACCTCCCGACCTGAAAACCTTCCGACTTGAGGTCTTTCCGTCTTGAGGACTTCCCGACCTGAAAACCTTCCGACTTGAGGTCCTTCCGTCTTGAGGACCTACCGACCTGAGGTCCTTCCGTCCTAATGACTTTCCGTCTTGAAGACCTACCGACCTGAAGACCTTCCGACCTGAGGTCCTTCCGTCTTGAGGACCTACCGACCTGAGGTCCTTCCGTCCTAATGACTTTCCGTCTTAAGGACCTACCGACCTGAAGACCTTCCGACCTGAGGTCTTTCCGTCCTGAGGACCTACCGACCTGAAGTCCTTCCGTCCTGAGGACCTACCGACCTGAGAACCTTCCGTCCTGTATTTTCCTTAGAAATAAATAAATAAATTTATTTTCCTTGATTTCCTCACGGTGTCCTTCAGCCAGTTCAATCAACCCTATTGCCAGGCCCATTCTTCTTTTTTACCTTGGGCTTTTAACCTAATTCTAAATTTCGTACGTAACAATTACACTAAAATTAAATTTTATATTCAAAACAATACATCACTACATATTTATATCGCATCAAACAATTATTTTAATTCAAAATTTTAGTATTAGAATTAAAATCCAAAACCAAAATCTTACAAATAGGCGCACTGATATAACATTGACAATTGGTGTGTTTGTTTGAGGAATTTTCTCCCAAATACATTATTCATCCATTTTTTTTTTTAAAAATATCAAATTAAACACCTATTTTTTATTTTTATATTATATTAAAAATCAATTTTACGTTCAAAATATCACATCAATACCTATTTATATCACATCATACAACTATTCAAATTCAAATTTTTTACTATTTAAATCCCAATTCAAAATCCAAACCCCCAAGACAAATACACCCTGAGTATTTTTGGATTTTTGCACACTCCGGGTGTGTTTGTTTGGGAATTTGGATTTTGAGTTAAGATTTTAATAGTGAAATATTTGAATTTGAATAGTTGTATGATGTGATGTTTTAAATATAAAATTGATTTTTAGTATCTCTCCGTCCCACTTCTCATGTCCACATTTTCATTTCCGTCCGTCCCACTTATTTTGTCACTTTCCTTTTTTAAAAATAATTATACACTTTAATCTTATTTTTAAAAATTTAATTTTTAATTTTAATTATACTAATAAATTATTTTAATCTTAATCTATAATTACTTTTATTATACGATAATTATTTTCACTAATATATTTTTAATTATTTACTAATTATACCATTTATAAATTTCCGTATCTAGAGTAACGTGATCAAATTATCCAGAACAAAAAAAATATAATATAAAAAGTAAAAAATAAATATTAAATTTAATTTTTTAGGAGAAAAAATTTTGATAAACAGTGGGAGTGGAAGTTGAAGAAAGTCTCCCAAACAAACACACCCGAATTCAAGTCTTCAACCTCAGTCTCACACCAATATAACCGGAGAACACGATGTTACAGTGCACCCGCGCGCAGGGAATAATAACCCAACCCCATCAACAAATAATGCCTTGTACCCAACCAACCCAAGTAATTCACATAATAAATGCAACGCCCATTCTCACCATCTTCACCCCAACTGTACTCTACAGAACAGAACCTTCCAGACCTCCAATTCCCCTTCCATGGCGAAATTCAAGCATCCAATCGCCGAAGCCAGCGAGACCAGTCCGTTCGGCGCGCTTACCGCCGAAGAATTCTACGCTCGCCACGCCGTCGTCCACGGCTCCGCCTACATCACTAGCACCAACCAGAATCTGAAGCTCTTCACGCAGTGGTGGATTCCGGCGGCGGCGGCGGAGGTTAACGGCGTCGTCTGCGTGGTCCACGGATTCACCGGCGAATCGAGCTGGTTCGTGCAGCTGACCGCCGTTCACATCGCCAAGCACGGATTCGCCGTCTGCGCCGTCGACCACATGGGGCACGGCTTCTCCGAGGGGCTAATTGCGCATATTCCGGCGATAGATGCCGTCGCCGACGACTGCGTGAGGTTTTTTGACGAATTCCGGTCGAGGTTTCCGGCGGAGCTGCCGGCGTTTTTATACGCGGAGTCGCTCGGCGGCGCGATTGCGCTGCTGATAACGCTCCGGCGGCGGGAGGGGACGGTGGCGCCGGCGAGGAAGTTCGACGGCGTGGTGCTGAACGGAGCGATGTGTGGAATTAGCGAGAAGTTCAAACCGCCATGGCCGCTGGAGCATTTTCTGTCGATAGCGGCGTTTCTGATACCTACGTGGTGCGTGGTCCCCACGCGCGGGTCGTTGCCCAATGTCTCCTTCAAGGTACCCCTAACGCTGTCACTTTTCGTTTCTCATAAATTAATTTAATGAGATATTTTATTTTATTTTATTTTTACAATATATAAAAAGTAGACAAAATAACAAAAATAGGCTCCTGTTTGCAAATTTGCTAAAAATATTTTTTGATTTTAATGTGTTTATTTTGTGAAAATGTTGATTTTTTTTATTTTTTATATGAGATGTATAATCGTGTATAAAATATAAAAATAATGAATATATGTAGCATATTAATATTTTTTCGAAATCGTGAGAGAAAGAAAAAAGGAAGTACAACCATCGAATCATCTATTCCCATTTCCTCGGTTTCTCCTTATCTAAATTTTTTTATTATTTTATTTACTTTCTAATTTTTCTAAAATAAAATAAAAATTATATTTTATCTCAATTTTTATTATATTATTTTCTTGTAAAAGTTATTATTTTTTCAAGATATCAAACTTACTATGGGTGTGTTTGTTTGAAGGATTTTGGTGGATTTCCACTATTCATCCAATTTTTTCCCCCCAAAAACATCAAATTAAACACCTATTTTTTATTTTTTATATTATACTAAAAATCAATTTTACATTCAAAATATCACATCAAACCCTATTTATATCACATCATACAACTATTTAAATTCAAAATTTTTACTATTCAAATCCCAACTCAAAATCCAAACCCCCAAACAATTTGGTATTTACATAATATTTAAAAAAATTTATTTGAATTTGGTATTGATTTTTATTTTGGATATCATATTTTATATTTGAATAATAATTATTTTTTGAAAAGTAACGTAAGAAATAAATTAAATTAAAATTTCATACATTATTTTTTATTTTATTTTTGAAGAAAATATTTTAATAAATAAAGCAAATGTCTAAATCATAAATTTTAATATTTGTTCATAAAATTTTATATAAAATATCATTATAAAATTGTGCTTAAACAACATCTTTTGAACATTATATTTTTAAAATATAGTAATATATTTTTTTATGATAAAATAAAAATCAAGATAGAAAAATTATGAATAAGATTTTATTAAAGATTTTTTTTTTTAAAAAAAAATGATAAATGATAAAATTATAGTTAAAAAAAATATACTCCCTCCGTCTTACTCTTCATATCCACCTTTCAATTTTCGTTCCGTCCCACTTATTTTGTCACTTTTTTTTTTTTAAAATAATTATACACTTTAATATTATTTTTAAAAATTTAATTTATAATTTTTTTAAATTTTAATTATACTAATCAATTATCTTAATTTTAATTTATAATTATTTTTATTATACGATAATTATTTTTACTAATACATTTTTTATTATTTATTAATTATACCCCTCTTAAATTTCCGTATCTACGGTAACGTGGTCAAATTATTCAGGATGGAGGGAGTATAAATTTTATTAATGTTCTCTCTCATCCATGTAACTCTATTTCATTAGAGGGAATAGAGAAAATTGGGTATAGAGGAGTTGATGCAAGAAGAACAAAGCCTACAATATTATTATAAAAATTTTCTTAGGGTGTGTTTGTTTGGGGGATTTAATTAGATTTTTACTATTCATCCAATTTTTTTCCCCCCAAAAATATCAAATCAAACACCTATTTTTCATTTTTTATATTATACTAAAAATTAATTTTACATTTAAAATATCACATCAACACCTATTTATATCACATCATACAACTATTTAAATTCAAAATTTTTACTATTCAAATCCCAACTCAAAATCCAAACCCCCAAACAAATGTTATTTATGATTTTGTAAGAATACTTTTAGGGTGTGTTTGTTTGATGGATTTTGACAAAATCCCATTATTCATCCAAAATTTTTCTCCCAAAAATATCAAATTAAATACCTATTTTTTATTTTTTATATTATACTAAAAATTAATTTTACATTCAAAACATCACATCATCACCTATTTATATCACATCATACAACTATTCAAATTCAAAATTTTTACTATTCAAAATTCAAACACCAAAACAAAAACACCCTAAGTTTAAGTGCGACTTGTTATAATCTCCGTTAAATACGAAGATGGTGTTTTTTTTTAGTATTATCTAAATCACCAATAGGTAAAATGAAATTTTATAACCAAAATGTTTTAAGCTAATTTAAAAAATCATAAGGAGTTTTTTTCCTATCTTGCCTAAAAAAGTATGATATTTTAAAGATGGTAATACTTCCTCCAAGAAATGTGTTTATTTGTACATCAGTTTTAATAAATTTGTTGCATTCGAGTGATTGTGATATAAAAAATAATACTTTTCAAAATATACGATTAAGTTACTAATGTGATGGAAAATATTTAATAAATTAAATAAGTAATAGTGATATATTTATAAATAAATATATAAGAATTATTTATTATCAATAAAAAAATATATATATATTTTGTGTGAAAAAAAATTATATATAGATTTAGTTGACGTGGTGTTATATAATAAAATTTTGTAAAGAACATAGCTGCCTTTTTAGGCACACATCTTATTTGTCTTATAAGTATGGAGAATTAAGTAATTTTTTTTGTCCTTTTAATTAACTTTTGTGTAAAAATGATTGGTCTTGTCTTTCAGGTCTGTTTCTTTACCTCAAACCACTCCCTTTTTTTATTATTTGGTCCGTACAATTTTTTTTTTTAAAAAAAAATACTATTTTTATGTTAATTTTTAGATTAATTATTATATCAAAATATAAAAAAAAAAAATTTCATTAGTGTCTTATAATACTAATAAAATAAAATTTATACAAATATAAGAATATTTTTAATATTAAAAATAATAACGCCAAATACAAATTGATAGATTGGTGATGGACGGAGGTAGTACAATTTTTCTCTTAGAGACATTCATTAAACATTACTTTAATATCAAATTCAAATCAAATTTTTTCACAAACTAATCAAAAGAAACACACAAATGTTAAAAGAAGAAACTCTTATATTTACAATGTGCCCATTTTGTCGGCAAAAAAGGAGGAGTGGAAGCGGAAGTTGGCGGTAGCGAGCCCGAGAAGGCCATTGTTGAGGCCGCGCCCGGCCACGGCGAAGGAGCTGTTGCGCGTTTCCCGAGAGCTCCAGTCGAAGTTCGAAGAAGTAAATGTTCCGTTCCTTGTGGTCCACGGAGGGGACGACGTTGTGTGCGACCCGGCATGTGTGGAGGAGCTCTACAACCGCGCGAGCAGCGAAGACAAGACCCTGCGGATCTACCCGGGCATGTGGCACCAGCTGGTGGGCGAGCCCAAGGAAAATGTGGACCTTGTGTTCGGGGAAGTCGTGGATTGGCTCGTCACTAGGGCGAAGAAAGCCCGGAGCCGTGGCTGAGCCGAGGCGGCAGGCGGCGGCGGAGTGAGTGGTGGTGGTGGAGAAGATTGATGGGTTTGTATGTAAGTTTGTTGTGAGGGATTATATATGATGTATTTTCTCATCAAATATTCAATAATTAATTTATGCATGAAATAAAAGTATTTAATTTTCCTGTGAATTTGTTTAAAGGATTTTCTCCAAAATGTATTATTTATAAAATAAATTTTTTCCTAAATATCAAATCAAACACTTATTTTTTTTCTATATTATTTTAAAAATTAATTTTATATTTAAAATATCAAATCAACACTTATTTACTCTGTCCCATAGTATGGGTATGCTACTTATTTACTCTGTCCCATAGTATGGGTATGCTATTGTAATGCGAGAATTTAGGTAAAATATAATTAACAAGTAATTAAAAAAATATATTATTAAAAATAATTATATATTAAAATTAAGATATTTATATAGTTTAATTAAAATTAAAATATTTTAAAATTTAAAATTTAAAATATGATTGAAATATATAATTATACTTCCAAAAAAGAAAAGACAAACATAAAATCCAAACTCCCAGACAAACACACAATTTTTTGTTACAATTTTTTTAAGTTGTGGAAATCACAGTCGCTACCCGAAAGTGCGCATTGGATAAACTCCTAACCGAACTTAATACCTTGCATACCAGCCGAAAAAAAGCAAATCACATTAGGCGAGGCTAAGGAGTTTCCTTTATATGTATTTAAGTTTTTTCTTTAATATTTTATAAATACAATTTATAAAATTATTTTTTATAAAAAATAATGACAAAATATTTAATAAAATTATATCACATTGTGCTCAAATTAAAATTAGCAAGGTTATATTGAATAAAAATAAATATATAGTATTCCCTCCGTTATTTGTTAAGTACATATTTTATTACTCCATCCGTTCCCAAACAATAAAGACATTTGTACCTTAGAATTAAAGAATAATAATATTATATTGACAGTGAGTTTAAAAACGTTTCTAAAAGACAAAAATATCCTAACTTCATATAATTATCGTGAAAAAAGTTGAAATAATATTATAAAAAAGTGAAAAGTTAGTTATTAAAAAAAATGAGACTATTGTTTTGAGAAGGACAAAAATAACAAAATTGGACTATTGTTTTGAGATATAAGGACTATTTTTTATTGTTCAAATACAAAATATTCATTTTCATGAATCTTACTACACATTACAAATATCATCATATTTATACTTATTTACATAATAATTTCACATTAACTTGACACATCATATGGTAAAACAATCTTTGCATATTAAACTATCACCGACTATTACTAAAATACAATATTTATTAAATTTCGTACGAGCAAAATTGTTTATAATATATGGTTTGGAAACTTTATAATTCTCTTTATATTTTAAAAATGCATGAAGCTAAGGGTGCGTTTATTTGAGGAATTTTGCCAAAAATCAATTATTCATTCAAAATTTTCCCAAAAAATATCACATCAAACATCTATTTTTCACTTTCTATATTGTTCTAAAAATCAATTTTACATTCAAAACATCGTACAATTATTCTAATTCAAAATTTTTACTATTCAAATTTCAACTAAGCCTCCAAACAAACACACCCTTGTATTTCGAAAAACACAGCATATACAATTTTTTTTGTAAATCATGTGTAATAGCATTTCTAAAACAAAGGAAACTTCTTACAATTTTCAGAGTCACAAACAAGAATGATACCACCTCCCTTCCGCTAAAAAGTTATCTTTTAATATTAATTAAAAAAAAAAGGACAAAAATACTTTTAGGGTATGTTCTTTTGGTGGATTCCCCAGATTTCTACTATTTATCCAATTTTTTTCCTCCAAAAATATTAAATCAAATATTTATTTTTCATTTTTTATATTATACTAAAAATCAATTTTACATTCAAAACATCACATCAATACCTATTTATATCACATCATACAACTATTCAAATTCAAAAATTTTACTATTCAAATCTCAATTCAAAATCTAAACTCCAAACAAAACACATACTATGTCTTATAATATAAATATAATGACATTTGTATGAAAAAAATTATACAAATATAAAAATATTTTTAATTTTAAGTATAATAAAGCAAAAACTAAATGTAATTCTTTTAGCCGGATGGAGGGAGCACAATCTTTCTAAACCACTTACAAATTATGAACAATTTTTCCTAAATAAATAGTAAAAACAACAGCTTGAAAACACAACCAAACAATCGTCGTGCATACATTTAAAACATAAAAAATTTCATGCTTATACATATTTTTTCCTTAAAATATCATCGAAAACTCTTTTTTTCTTATTTTTTTAATTATTATTAAGAAAACTATATTCAAAACTCCAAAATCTTTTAAATCATCAAAAGTTCCCCAACTTCTTAGCCATCATCAAACACCAAAAAAAACACACAAGTCATTCATTTCAACTAACCTTAAATTACCACACACCTAAAGCCATGATGTCTTCTTCAAGCATCATGTCTTGTTTCCATCATGTAATCTTTCAGCCATTTCCAGATATCCTCTCCCGATTATGTTGTTTATCCGGTGGCGATCCAATTATTTACGGCCGCATTCCCTGCATCAGCCAAAATGTAGTCAGTCTTACCCGATGCGAAATTCTGCAAGTGCATGTTGTAGTGAAGGAAAGCCCTTTTCTGATTGATCGATCGGTTCCTCCCTTCACAAACAGCTCTCTCAGCCAAGCTCCGGTTCAAATGGAATTTCGACGCCCCATCGCACATCTGGTTCAGAATTCGAATCGCCAGCCTCTGTAGCTCCGGAGACTTTACACCATATTCGTGCCACCATTGCACTGAAAAGACAACTCTTTTTGGCATGTTATCGAATTCAAATGAATTCGCGACAAAATAGTTATTAAAACCTATTGGAAGACTATATAATACTCCCTTCATCAGCCGGTAAGCTTCCAATTTGATTTTTGCACGCGGATAAAGTAAATTAATATTTTTTAGATATATAATGAGTGTAATGTCTATTTAATTCTTGACATAAACAATGTGAAAAGTAAAAAGTAGATGTATTTTGGTATTTAGTTAAAAGTTAGTTTAACTAAAAAAAGAAATGAGAAGTTTTGATTTGAACAAACTAAAATAGTAAGATGGGAAGTTTATAGATAGATGGAAGGAGTATGAAAATAATAATGCATATCTCTATAACTAAAACTTAGGTAAGATGATATAAGAATGAGAAGTTCCGTGATCAAGTCCCACCGGCCGTTTTCGTAAAAAATTGTCTACTAGCAAGGTTCGTGTATGACGTAAATCTACTTTCTACGTAAAGGGGCGTGTTGAAAAACTATATAATACGTAAGAATAATAATTTATATCCCTACAAGTTTAAACTTTTAGGTGAAATTGATGAGAAATTGTGAAGGGCATATTAGAAGACTATATAATATATAAATATAATGCATAGCTTAAGTTTTTAGGTGAAATCGATGGAGAAATGAAGACTATATAATATATAAATATAATGCATAGCTTAAGCTTTTAGGTGAAATCGACGGATACCTATAGAGATATCGGATTCAACAGCGACAGACCATCCTGAACCGAACACATCCCAGCAAATTATGTACTCTTCCATCTGGAGGGTAATCTTGTCCTGAATGCGGTGATCTTTGGTCGAGCGAACGACGCAGCTGAGCATGTCGAGGTCAACTTCAGTATCGATGTATGCATTTCCCGAATAGTATAGTTGCGGGTTCAGAAAATAGGCGGCAGAATGAAGCGGGGTGTGGAGGAAACCATCCCAAACTTCGTCGATAACCTTCCAAAATTGCAGGTATTGGTTCCCCCTCCTTTTGAATCCTGCCTGGATCGCTTCCTTAGCTAGATCCATCATTTCGTAAATGTATCCAAACTGTTCCTTTGTCATAGAATTCATCCAAAGAACGATGCGGATCAGAGGAATGGTTCCTGCCCGGACAATCGATACATCAGTCCAGAATGACTCGCTGGCCAACAATTCCGACACCTCTTTCCCCTCTACGCTCGAAGTTAAGTCGGATGGAAAACACATTTCCATCATGGTTTCCTTCTCCGAAACGATTTTATCGATGATCAAGAAGGGTACTATTACTGTGGACTGTATGTTCGGATGCTCGACCAGATCAAACTTCAGTGTCTCCGGATGTGCAAGCACAAACCGTGCGACTGTTTTCACCTTCTCTAATGTTTTTTCGATGAAATTTATTTTGCAAAACTTCTCTAGCATGAGTTCTATACATCTCCACACACTAAAAGTCCAATGAATCGGGCGGATCCTATCCATGAGTTCCTTTCCGATCTCCTTCATGAAGGCTGTGGTCGAGGATGTCATTATCTGAACCACATTCTCTTCTCCAACCTCGGCAACAACTTCCTCAAGAAACAAAAGCATCAAATCTTTCTTCCCTATGAAGTCAGAAATATCATCCGATCGAAGATAAATAGCCCCCTTAGGACATTCGACTAAAATATTTACCAAATTTCTTCCCCGGATGTCTGTCCATTCATCGAGCAAGACACTGCAACCAGTTTCATCCCACGAACTTCGGATCCGCTTGATCTGTTCTTTCATTTCTTTCACTGCAGATTCCAAGATCCATCCCTTCAACTCATCACGAGTAGGGAATTCATACTTTACCAGTCCGCTAGACAAGGAGAGCATACGATGGAAGCTAGGCAAATCAACAGAACTAAAATCAATTCCTGATTCGTAGAAGTATCGCCCGATAGTCTTTTTAGCTTTCCTTATGGATGAATAATCAGTGTTGGGAGATCTTGGTGGAGTGCACAAGTCGATTATAAAGTTACTAGATGATGCAGCTTTAGGATCCTCTACTCCCCCATCCATGTTGGAGTGCCAATTTCCGTTACCTTTCTTTGTCCTTTGCTCGATTTCCATCTAACTTGCTTGCTTCTCCGAATTTCTTTCAAACAAGGAGCTTGATAGCAATTACAGCTCTTCCCCTGCCACATTTCAATGAAATGGTGTCGTTCACAGCTCAATCATACATAAAAAGTTAATCCAAAGATTAATTTAAATGCAACAAAACTCTATCTACCACTAGGCATTCATCTAAGAATCATTCTTTCACATTTCGGCATATAGAAGTAATTCTCAAAAAAAATGAAGCAAATCTCAAATGTTGCATTGTCAACAAGAAAATAAATGTGCTCTTCACACATTAGATTGTAGATTCACCACTAAATATAGATGCACAACAAGACAACCATATGTCGAGTATCCCACATTGGATTTGATGTTGGGACTCTCGTGCCTAATAATAGGTGAAGGACTACTCCACTTAGAACCAATTGGTTTAAAGTTGAACTCCGAATCCCCTTTTTAACATAATATCAAAGCCATGGTAATGACCGTATTGAGTTTTGATTCTGTTTAGATTTTCGAGATTATCATCTTGAGGGGGAGTGTTCCCACGTTGGATTTGATGTTAGGACTCCCCTATCTTATAAGAGGTGAAGGGCTACTTCACTTACAACCAATTGCTTTTAAGTTGGAACCCCGGATCCCCTTTTTAACACCATATGCATTCGTCATTCGTCTAAGAATCATTCTTTCCCCTTTTGAACTATAAAAATAGTTTTCCCAACAAATGAAACAAATCTTAAAGGTTTCAATGTCAACAAGAAAACACACGTGCTCGGAACACATTAGTTCATAGATTCACCACTAAAATATAGATGCACAACAAGACAGCCATAAGCATTCGTCTAAGAAACATTATTTCCCCTTTCGACATATAAAAGTAGTTTTCACAATAAATGAAGCAAATCTCAAAGGCTTCAATGTCAACAAGAAACTAAATCCTCGTCACACATTAGTTCATAGATTTGCCACTAAAATATAGACGCACAAGCACAACAAGACAATCATAATCAAACCACATCAAGCAAAGCATCTATACTGCCACAAACAATCCACACAAGATCACACGGAAATTTTGAGCCCTTGGTAAATAACAAAGGTAAATAACAAAAGTAGAATAATTGAACTTCAGTAAATGTGCTATTCCACATTACATCAATGTGTACCAAAAATTCGATGTTTAAGATCAATCACTCTACAAATATTTCCTTTACAACCAAATTCCTAACAATTTAAAATCAATACATTTCGAGTGTGTTACTAAACATATTAGTATGAATCTGACGAACATATGTTAGCATATACAATAACGCAAATCCACGAGAACAAACAAATATCGAAATGTTAGAGCAAAATCGCAACGGAAAACAAATCAAAATCAAAATCCGACCACTCTATACAGTACAATTTCTCCACAATCCACCAAATTCCAAACCCTAATTAATCCCCAATGTTTGGAAACGAAAAAACAGATGCAAAAACAGTAAGTACTAGATCGTTGGGCTGAGAACCAAACGCCATTGTTCGTGTACTCAAAATTTCCACATCCTTATAAAATCAACAAGCGGCAACGCAGATACAAAAACAAAAAACGACGAAAAACAGGAGACCGACGAGAGGATTTTTACCAGAGAAGATTTTGGTCATGCAGCAGCTCCTCTTCTCGAGAGGACGTTTGAGGGGAAAATGAGAGACTGATTAATATCCATCAGTGGAGAGGCAGTCCACAGCATTGACCTCGGTGACACGTGGCTGTCTGAGCTATAGCGTTCTTCGGCCTACGGCCCTACCACCTCCATGGGTCCCACCTACATATTTATAGTTTAATTGCAAAATACCCCCTCGCTCAATAACAGTGTGTTTACTTGAGTGATATTTATCTTGTGTTTTGGTTTTGAATATTTCTTCGTGCCGTAACAAAGTATTCATTTTTTTATTTTTAGTCTGTCTCATACTAAAGTATTCATTTTCTTTTTAGTAACTGTACTATCTATCTAATATTACAAATATCCTCACAACTTACAATATATTACATAAATGTCATTACCTTTATATCACATATACTAATATGGTTATTTTAGTAATTCTACTTTATTCCTACTATATCCCAATATAATACTAATATTTAAGCAAATAGATTCTCAATATAATACTAATATTTCTAAAACTACATGCAAAAAACAAATGAATATTTACTTATGAGACGGAGGGAGTAATAAAATTTTGAATTAAAATAGTTGTTTAATATGCTATAAATATATATTGATGTGATATTTTGAATATAAAATTAGATTTTAGTACAATAAAATAAATAAAAACGAATGTTTAATTTGATATTTTTAGAAAAAAAAATTAAAAATAAAACGAAAAACTAAATTTCATAACTAAACACACGTGCATTCAAGTACTAACATAATTGAGACTCAACACTCATTTGTGTTTTAGTAAAAATATACAAAAGTTCATACGTTTTATTTATTCCGTAAAATTTTCTTGTATTAATATAAAATTTGCACGAAACACAATATTTATCCAAAACTACGTTTGATTCTAAATAAACACCTAAATTACTCAAGTTTTATACAAATAAAAAATAAAAACGTAAAATATTTTAAATAATTTTTTCGGACAAAATAAATAAATAAATAAATAATTGATTAATTATTTATCTTTATATTTTTTTATAAAAAATATATAACAATTTGTTTTCAAAAATTATAAAACGAAAGATTGATAATTTATTTACTTATTTATTTTATTCAAAAAAATAATTTAAAATATTTTATTTGTATAAAATTTGTGTAGATCTTTATTTAGAATCAAACATTAGTTTTGGACAAAGAGGGTGTTTTGTGCAAATTTTACATTAATACAAAGAGGTTTTATGCATTAAATAAAATACAAGTCTTTTGTGCATTTTTACTAAAACACATATGAGTGCTATATAATTTACTTTTTTTTAATAAAAAATTGTATTATTAATTTTTAAATAATTTTTATTAAAAATATATTATTTTATTTTATAAAATACTCTCTCCGTTTCACTATAATTGACACTATTTTTTATTTTTGTCTGTCCTATAATAAATGATACTTTTTTATTTTGGTAAAATTTATTAAATAAAAATATACTTAACAAATATAAATCAACTTAATTAACTACATATAACACATAATATCATATATCATGTATGACTCACTCAAAAATTTCTTTATTTTTATGATTTTCTTTAAAAACAATAAATATTTTTATCTACATTTAAAATTCCACATTTTTTATAAAATTAATTTATCTTAATTTTAAATAAATAAAAATATTTTTTTATTTACTTGTATTATAGAAAATTTTATTAAGTACAAAATAATATTCATATTGCATAAAATTTTTATTGCGATAAAATTTTTAAAATATTTAAATATATATTTAATTTTTTTAATTATATATATTACATTTATTTTAAAACATATTCATTACATAAAAATAATAAAATAAGAAACCTAAAAATATTAAAAAATATGTATGTAAATAAAAGCAAGTGTTATTTTATATGCATATTAATTGAAACATTTTAAAAATAACTGTGATTGATTAGCGATACATCAAAAATAGAAATTGACCTAAACAATGTATTTGGATTGACATGTTCTAGCCTCACTTTACAAAACGAATTCAATTAAAAAATGTACTTAATTTGATTTAAAATTTAAACTCAAACATTATTATTTAATTTATATAATTTTTTTTTTAAAATATAATATTTCTTTTAGTAAAATATTATACTTCCTCCGTCCCAAAAGTATAGTCTTATTGTGTTGGGCACGAGATTTAAAAAATATTGATATTATATTGGTAGTCGGTAAAAAGTAAGGATAAATAATTTTTTTGCCCTTGTGAGTATATTAATGTAAAAAGTAGCGGCAATTGTGTAATAATAATGAAAAGGTAGAGATAATTTTACAGTGATATAGTTATTTATGAAAATGAGATTGTTGAATTGAGACGGACAAAAATGGTAAACGAGATTATTGTATTAGGACGTAGAGAGTACTAAAATATCAATAAAATTAAATTTTCAATTCCAACAATATTTAAATACATTAGAATTCATTAAAAGCATAGAGTGTGGCTCTCAAATCGACGGCTTCACCTTCTTACTCGCGACTCTTTCTTCTTATTCAATATTTTCTCGGCTCGCAATGGTTTTTCTTTCTGGGGCAAAAAATTCGATGCACTTGGGGAAGTGTTGGTGCAGGTGAGGCGCGACGAGACGACTTGCGACCTCTTTTTCTCTCTCAAACACGGCAGTGTTTTTTATACATAGATACATACATAGACGTGCTTAAGAATATACACTACTATGTTTTTTAAACATGGCCTTATTGAAGTCAGGATTAGAAAAACAGACATAATCATTATGTGTTTAAATACGGACGTATTGTGATACCTCTGGAGTTGGGCAGTTGCTTGGCTAACTCCCGTGTGTGAATGAGTTGGTATTAGGCCATCCAAAGTGAATATAGGTTAAGTGAATTGAATATGTTACTCATGTCAACTGATAACAGAAAAATATATTTTGTGTATAGGTTGTATATCAAATCGCAGGGAATTTTATTCGAAAATCAATGAGTAGAGTTTTTATAGAAGAATGGTTAGATATAGCAATTATGTGGTTGTAGACCCTGGATAGTTATCACAATTATTTATACTCTTTTTACTGGTGAGTTTCCAGGTCGAACACAGGGATTTAAAGTCATGAATTTCAATGGTAAAAATCTTGGAGAAGCGACGAAGAAACAAAAAAGGGAGTCCGCTTCGAGCGGGAATCTTCTACTACTGAAAGCGGTAAACAAAGCAGTAAAAATGAACGGGGGCGAGCGAAGCGAAAGCGAGAGGATTGGGATGTGAGTGAGCGGCATATTATATGTATATGTATATGAGCGAATTAGAGTGAAAAAGAGGTGTTGTGTCTGAACTGTGCGTTACGAAATGGGTAGATTTCCCTGGATGCAGCGAGCGAGTGACGTAATTGTGTTATCGGAAGCATATATGTATATTACGAAAATGATGATAGAAAGATGTTGTAATTATATAAACTCGATTATAAAGAACTCATCACACTGGTATTTTGGCCTGGGGGGATTTACAACAAGACTTCAATGACACCCAGAATTAAGACATTATAAGAAAGAAACCCTACTGTCACTAGGAATTTCTGCGACCTAATAGACCCCCGTCTATGTCCCGTTAATTTTCCCAATTTCTGCCTCATTAGTGGCTTTACCCCCTGATGTTGGTACCATTTTATCAGAATCAAATTTAGCGCAGTAGTTAAGTAGGTCGACAAGGCTCCCGCGTACTTAACTACGTTGAACTACCTTGAGACCGCTTTTGGCGTATCACAAGGCTTAATTAATTAATTCGTCTCTTGCTCTATACCAGTGATATGAAATTCTCTAAAATTGATTTATATAAGTATGGAAAATTGTGGAAGAATTTAATTTGAAGAAGTGAATGATATTTCTTTATATACTACGAAAATGCGAAAAGGATTAGACTACAAAGCTGTAAATGAAAGCAGTAATCTAGTCTAGGAAAGCATTAAAAACGTGGCCAAGGAAGAGGGAAGACGCCCACTCCCTTGGCCTTTCCTGTGGAGAACTCCCTTACAGGGTTGGAGCTCTCGGAAACAGGAACACGACGAACGCTGAGTGTATTCTGAGAATTATCCAAGAATTCGATTCTTTTTATATACAGATATCTGGCCCTATTTATAGCAGGTGTAACGAGACGGTTGCAAGAAGCTGTTGGGCAGTTCCAACCGCTGGGCAGTTAGGCGGTTGCAGATGGTTATTCTGTTGAAGCAGTTGCTGGCCATAACTCCCAGGGTGTCCGCTTCGCTTGCGTTGAGGGCACAGATCTTCCTCGCTTGCTGAAGAGCAGGAGGGCATCAGCGTAGCTCGGCTCGCTTGTGCTAGCTGGAATTGGAATGGCTGTACCGCTGCATTTGAAGCACTTAGTTGAAATCTGGTGATAGTCTGCAGCGGCGGGTATCTGGACTGAAGCTTGCAAGCGGGAGAGGCTATCGCTTGCGGCTATGAAGGTGGCCGCTTGCCTCTCATGCCTTAGTGTTTTCAAGGTGTGTCTTGGGCGCTTGCGAGCGAAGGCGGCTGTCGCTTGCGGCGTCTGCCTTAGCTTTTCTGGTTCCAAAATACCGCTTAAGAGGGCAAAAATCGTTAATAGTCTCAACAACGAATTCTGGATCATGCCTGGTGATATAAATCAATATTGTATGCCGATTACGAATTATTTTGATGGTTCTTATGCAGAAATTCAAGTAATACACATTTCGTCAAGCTAAGAATATGCTCATATTTGGAGTCATCATCAACAATTCTGCATATTATTTTTTGAAAGTCCTACTGAAAAAGTTCTACTAGAGTTAAGCGTGCTTGTCCTAAAGTAATTTGAGAATGGGTGACATATGAAGCCAGTCTACAATCTTAACACATCCGACTTTGCATAACTTGCGGACCGAAATATCACACGTATTTCTATGTTTTTTTTTGTTTTTTTTTATCCGTCCAAAATCAAACATCGACGCGTTGGATAAATATGAGACAAAGATATTTTGTATTCTTGGTTATTGTAGGTGCTCTAAAGCACAAGTCTAAATGAGTCAATTCATGTAAATTTCAAGTTAACGAGAGTTGCCCATGGTCAATTAAATATAAGACTTCATTATAAAAGATTTTTTTAAAGTATTATATATATTGATTATTATAATTTTTTTAGTAGCTTTGGAATTTACATACATTATTTTTAAAATGCTAATTGGGTAAATTTTTCAATCGGTTTGGAAATTGCACCAACAAAAAAAAAAAAAAAAAAAAAAAAAAAAAGAACTACATTAGACTAACTATGGTATGGGTGATAGAGAATCAATTCTTTAAGTGCACATTAGATAAATTTTCAGTTGGGCATAATAGTTCGCAAATTGGGCCAGCAAAAATAAATTACATAAAACTAACTATATAAAGAAGGTTAAATTATTTTTTGGTTAAATTTGTTTTAATTTTTTCACCATTTTCAAGAATCAATTTTACAAATAGGATAAACTGTTTTTTTAGTCCCGTAAGTGGACCCTCTTATCATTTTAGTCCCGTAAGTGGAACATGTCGCAAACTAGTTCTATAAGTGAAAAATTTTAGTTGTTTTAGTCCTCCGACGCCGGAGACGCCCGCGTGGCTTGCCGGAGGTGACGTGTCCACTAGGTGTCTCGCCAAGTCAGCGACACCGGGCGGACACGTGAATTTATTTTTTTTTTCATTTATTTTTAATTTTTTTTAATTGGACCAAATAAAAAAAAATAAAAAAATACAAATAAAATTAAAAATAAATTAAATATAATTTTTAAAAAAATATAAAAAAATGAAATAAAAAATAAAAAAATCTACGTGTTTGCCAGGTGTCGTTGACCTGGCGGGATACCTGGCGGACACGTCACCTCCGGCGAGCCACGCGGGCGTCTCCGGCGCCGGAGGACTAAAACAGCGAAAACTTTTCACTTATGGGACTAGTTTGCGACAGGCTCCACTTACGGAACTAAAATGATAAGAGGGTCCAGTTATTGGACTAAAAAAACAGTTTACCCTTACAAATATTAAGCTTAATTACTATCACACAACTTTAAACTACTTTCACAAATTCAAACCAAGCAAATTCTTATACTCCCTCCGCCATTCAAATCTATATTCATTTTCTTTTTTGGATTGTTATCGAAAAATATTCTTATTTCCTCTTTAAGTAAAAAATCATTCCACTTTTGTACTGTTTTTTATTATAAAAGAAAAAATTAACAATTATTACTCACTTTTATTAAAACTTGTGTCCAGTTAAATGAGCACACATTTGCATAACGGACGGAGTATTATACAAGCAAGGAATCTTTGTTCATCCTAAATACATTGTTCCTAAATATTACAAATAAAATATATAGTGTGTGTTTGTTTGGAGAATTTTCCAAAATTTTCACTATTGATCAATTTTTTTTTTCAAAAAAATATCGAATCAAACACTTATTTTTCATTTTTTATAATATATTAAAGATCAATTTTACATTCAAAAATCACATCAATATCTATTTATATCACATCAACGTCTATTTATATCACATCATACAACTATTCAAATTCAAAATCTTTACTATTCAAATCTCAACTCAAACACCTTAAAAGGGTGGTAAAGGAATGCTTTGTTCATTCCTAAAGACATTATTCGGATCAACTTCAGTTTTAACTTTCACCAACCTATCGAAATTACCTTTAAAATATTTCAATCCGTATACCTTTCCTTGCTCGTAGCTATTCCCCGAGTTGCCCATTGTGCCGATGTCCAAATCTCGATAATTAAGATAAGCTTCCCTAGGATTTTGCGAAACATACGGTGTCATGAAACTATATAGTTGTCTCATCATGTTAATATATTTCGGGGTAGCTACTTCGCCTTCTTTACCCCAACTCACTGAATATTGAATCTTGAAAATATTTCCCGCTCGATGAGGAAATGGCGTGGAAGACTCGGGAATTCGACTCATTGCTCCTCCATACGGGTTGAATGTGATGATGACTTGTCGAAGCTCGACTACTTTTTTGAATATGCTTTCTAGCCCGGATTTGGGAATCAAGTTTTTCACATAGTCGGATTTTCGCTTTACGAATGTAGCTGAGTTAGGCTTCCTATTGTTAAAAAGAGAAAAAGAGAATTAATATATGAAAGTATAATACAATACGATTATATTCTTTAAGATTTTTTTGAAAAAATTATTATGTAATTTTTACATTTCTTTACAAAAACATATTATTTTAAATTCACAAAATAACATCAAACTATACTTTTAAAAGTATAAAATATGCTAAATATAAATATAAATACAAACTTATAGGGCGTGAATGCTAAACTTAAAAAAAGAAATTGATTTCATTTTTAGATTTGATTTTCAATTTAGACAGTGAAAAAATTATTTTGCCTTTATTATTATTATGTAAAAGTAATGTGATGATAAAAGAAGTTGAAGTATTTATAGAAAAAGACTATAATTACTATAAGAAAAGGAAATAATTATTTTATAATAAAAATAAAATAAAATTCACGTGATCGCTGACCTCACCGGCATATGTCCTTGGGCGAGCTCCTGCGAGCTACGTGGATGCCATGTAGACATCTTGGTGCCGAAGGGTTAAAAGTGCAATTTTTTTTATTTTTTTATTTACGAAACTATTTTGCGACAGGTTCCAACTACTGTACTAAAATAATAAAAAAGTATAGTTACATAACTAAAATGATAAAGAAGTAAAATTAGGTACCCATTACTTTATATTTGCAGCAGCTACAGTACAAATGCAGTTAATTTTGATCTAATCAAAAACTTCAATTTTTACTCTAGAGAATATATTCTCTGTACATTTCTCTTTTATATTAGGTCATCTCGAACCCATTACTTTATTTTGACAGACGGGGGGAGTATCATTTTTTAAAAAGTAAAATTATATACTCCCTCCGTCCTAATACAATAGTCCTATTTATTATTTTTGTCCGTCCCAAAACAATAGTCTTATTTTCATAAATAATCATATCACTATAAAAGTACCATTACTTTTTCATTATTATTACACAATTGCCACTACTTTTTACACTAATACATTCATAAGGGCAAAAAAGTCTTTTACCTATACTTTTTTATTTACTATCAATATTCCTTAAAACTCGTGTTCAACACAACCAAGACTATAGTACAAAAGTTCTGTTTATCATTTTTGTCTGTTTTAAAACAATAATTTTATTTTCATAAATAATCATATCACCATAAAACTATCTCTACTTTTTCATTTTTATTACATAATTGTCACTACTTTCTACACTAATATACAAAAAAGTCTTTTATTTATACTATTTACCAACTACCAATATAATATCAATATTCTTTAAAACTCGTGTCCAACACAACCAAGACTATAGTTTTGGGACGGAGGAAAATTATACTTCCTCATTCCCATAAATATAGTCTTAATTGGGTTGGACACGAGATTTAAGGAATATTGATATTATATTGGTAGTTGGTAAATAGTATAGATAAAAAACTTTTTTGTATATTAATGTAGAAAGCAGTGACAATTGTGTAATAAAAATAAAAAAATAAAGATAATTTTATAATGATATAATTATTTATAAAAATAAAATTATTCTTTTAAAATAGACAAAAATGATAAAAAAAACTTTTGTACCGTGACAGAGAGAATACAGAACATCCTAAAAATAGCAAAAATATACCCCAGAGTAATCCCAAAAAATGAGGGAGCCCCTGCCCCACCCATTTTACCTATACAATGGGTTGGAGATGACTTTCGGGACTTAAAAAAATGAGTTTAAAAATAAAAGCCCTTATCGGACAAGCAAAACAAGCTGTCAAGCACACAATAAAACAGTCTCTGCAGAAAAAAAAGAAAATTTAAAATAATACCTGTCCAACAGTGACGTCACGCCGTTGACTCCAGCCCACTCTACAACGGATTCGATCCACGGCATCTCACGGCAATCAGACATCCTTAACCCTAACTCCGGAAACTCCGATTCCATTATCGACAAAACCCTACTCGCATTTCCGGCGAACATTCCGATGAAACGCGTCCCGGCAACAACCGACCCATTCACACTCACCGGCGATACGACAACCCTAATAAATACGCCGTCGTCGATTTTTCCGGCGACCTGCTGGTATTTGTACAGAGCCTCAACTCCGCCGTCAATAGAACTTTTCTCCACCCGGAACACTGTCACCGTCGCCGGAACCGGGACCAGCCGGATTCTGAAGGCCAGGACCACGCAGAAGCTGGCGCCGCCGCCGCCGCGGATCGCCCAGAAGAGATCCTCCCCCATGGACCCGCGGTCCAGGACCCTCCCATCGGCGACGACGACACGTGCGTCGATCACGTGATCGACGGTGAGTCCGTACTTTCTGATCAGGTTACCGTACCCGCCGCCGCTGATGTGGCCGGCGGCGGCGACGGTGGGGCAGACGCCGCCGGGGAATGCGAGGCCGGTGGTTTTTTTAGATATTTCGTAGTAGAGCTCGCCGAGGGTGGCGCCGGCGTCGACCCAGGCGGTCCGGCCGGCCGGGCTGACGGCGATGGACCGGAAACCGGACATGTCGAGGAGGAGGAAGGGCCGGTCGGAGACGTAGGAAGTGCCCTCGAAGTCATGGCCGCCGCTGCGGATTCGGAGGGGGATTTGGGCGGCGGCGGCGCAGATCACGGCGGCGGTGACGTGGGATTCGGCAGCGGCGGCGATGATCGCGGCGGGTTTAGGGGTGGCGGTGGTGTTGAACCGGCGGTTTCTGACGGTGGATTGGAGGAGGGTTTGGAATGAAGGGTTTGTGGGGTTGTAGAGGATTTGTGGAATTTGGGGTTTTGGGAATTTGTGGTTTTGGAAACATTCGAAAACGGCGTCGTAAATGGAAGTTGGAGATGCCAAAATTGGAGGATTGAGAAGAAAGAGGAAAGGGCAGATTAAGAGATATTTCTCCATTGACATGTGGTAGGATTTCATTCTATCGCTAACTATTATATATATATAATACTTCCCCCCGTGTACAAGCTAACGTTCTACTTCTTTATTTGGGACGTTCAATAACTATTGTCCTATTTTTTTTTTAAATATAAATTTTATATTTTTATCTTCCATTCATTTATTACTTTTAATCCCTATTATACAATTATGGACAAATTTATCAATTCATAACAAAAAGACAATCACCTAAAAAAACGGTACAAATATATTTTAGGACAATAAAAATTGGACGAAAGAAGTATATTAAATTTTTAATAATATATATATATATATAAATATATATATTCATCAACTGTTTTTACACTTTCTTGGTCCCAATTTAAAGGATCATTTCACCTTAGGTTTGAGTCGAAAATTGTCGTCTCTTTTATATGGAAATTGGAGTAGAAAAGAAATGGAAGAGATCGTAGTTGTTGATGGAAATCGAAGTTTAGTGGGGCTTTTTGAATTCTTTTAACAAGGACCGTCCGATAAAGCCCATAGATCTTTCGTATAAATTTACGAGATTACTATTGTATGGAATCTTTAATTATATAGGGTTCAAATATATTAAAGTAAATATAAAATTAAATTAGACAAAATAATATTACTCCATCTAGCTTTAAGGATTGTATTTACTTTTTGCGTATTAAATAATGTAAATGAATAATGTAAATTACAGACTTACCTAAAAGCTTAATTATACGCATTATTTATTTATTTATCATCAAACGGGAGTTAACCAATATTACGTGTTGATTTTTTAATATTAAATATTATATCTACAAATTAAGAGAAAAAATGACAAAAAAATACTTTTATTGGTGTCTTATAATATTATTATAATGATATTTATATAAAAAATTATATAAATATAAAGATATTTTTAATATTAAATATAATGACGTAAAAAAATAATTATAATTTTTAGAGGCAGAATGAAAAAGTATTATTTATCATAATTTCATGTACTAATCACACCATTTGAATAAAAGTTACATGAATTTGTTTTTGAAAATTTTCGAAAAGCTTCGTACTATATGAAATTAGATGTTAATTTACATAGTAATAAGATCAAAATGGTTTGGTGGTATAAGGGTGGATTCGTAATCGTGAAATCATGTGTTCAAACTCCCGACACTTTCAGATCTTGTATGATACACACGTTTGCCCAGTGTGACTTACTTTGTCAATTCGCAGTCAATTTCAATTGGATCAGGCCAACACATTAATAAAATTCGATTATGATATTTTATTTTTTATTTTTATTATTTTTTTTAGTGATGGTGAGACAGTATTACTCCTCTATTTGTCCTAATTTAATTAATTAATATATACTCCTTCCGTCCAGTTAAAAAGTATATATATTTCTATTTTGGGACATCCAATTATAAAGTAACCATTTCATTAAATACCCCATTTTTTCCACAAATACCCCTATTTTACATCACATCATTACTTTTATACCAAAAAAATAAGGGCAGAAAATATCATTTTACTACTTTTACCTACCTACTATAAGTAAAATACTATTATTCCTTGATCTCCGCATCAAAAGTAATTGTATACTTTTAGCTTGAACGGAGGGAGTATATTTTATCATTTTCGTCTATCTTAATTCAAAATATTCATATTTTTATTTTAGAAAAAGTGATAATACACTATTATCAAAATATCATTAACTTTTACTTAAACTATAAATATACAATTACTTTATAGATAAAGTCAAAAGGATAAAAATGTTATAAACTTTTATCACTTCCACTAACTAATAAAATATTATTATTTTTTTAATTCAAAGGATCTTTTGATTTGGAATGAAAGAAATATTATACTCCCTTTATTCCACATAATTCTATTTTTGTTTGTCCACGTAATTTGTCATTTTTTTTTTAGAAAATTATTATATAATTTAATTATATTTTAAAATTTAAAATTTAATTTTTTTTAATTTTAATTAAACTACTTAATTATCTTAATTTTAATTTATAATTATTTTTACTAATACACTTTTTAATTACTTACTAATTATATTTTACCTAAATTTTCATATTTACAGTAACACATCTATCTTATCTTATCTAGGACAGAAAAAGTAATAGTATATAATTTATTTAAAGGATTAAAATCGCAGTAAATAAATGCATATTTCTGCTGGAACCTAAAAATCTTTATACATAACTAAATCTCACTTACTAGTATTTAAATACTATGGAGTAATATTTATTAATTTTCATGGTAAAAGTAAATATATATTTTATGGCCAAACGTGTTTGTTTGGGGGATTGAATTGGATTTACACTATTCATCAATTTTTTTTTTCTCTAAAAACATCAAATTAAACATCTATTTTTCATTTTTTATATTATACTAAAAATTAATTTTACATTCAAAACATCACATCAACACCTATTTATATCACATCATACAACTATTCAAATTCAAAATTTTTACTATTCAAATCCCAATTCAAAATCCAAACCCCCAAACAAACACACCAAGTAGAAAGTATGATTGCAGAGCATGTGATGATCCGGTCAAATCAGCAACATATATTATATGAATTATCAATATATATTTATACATATTTCATTATATATTGTATTATAAAATAGCGCATGTCGAATTATAATATAATATATACTGTATTATTAATATGGTGATATATATATACAATATATGTTGATCACTCCAATAATATATGTCGATTCGATCAAATCAGCACTTCTGACTTCTTCGCGGTATCAACTGCTGATCGCCCAAAAATATATATAAATTGTTGTGGGTATTATTATTATTATTATTAAAGAAAACTTATATATAAAAAAAATTGCACTAACATCATATGTATAAAAGACGTTTCTTTTATTAGCGCCATTAGATAGTTCAAATTGATAACAATGTTTTAAACTAGACTTTTTTTTTTTTTTATTTTTTTTATTAATATAATTTTAAATTATTAATTTGTATATTTCTATAGATTTTTTGTTCTATCAATTAGAAAATCAATTCTCAATTTTGCATTAATTCTCTTTTATCTTAAATTTCATTATCTATTGCTCATTTCGCTTTTTTAATTAGATTTTTATTTGTTTTTTCGTATAAAATTTTAAATATTAATAACATATTCATATGTACTACAAGTACAAAAAAATAAAAATATTTTTATTAATATTGTATAATATAAATATAATTATATTCATATAAAATATTATATTACTTTCGTTCGGCTTTAAAAGTTATATTTACTTTTTGCATTTGATATTTGAATATTAATTATTATATTAAAACACAATAAAAATTAAGAGAAAATGACAAAAATACTTTTATTAGTATCATATAATACTATTATAATGATTTTTGTGCAAAAAAAAGATTATACAAATATAAAGATATTTTTAATGTTAAGTATAATAATACAAAAAGTAAATGAGACCCTAGAGCTAGACCGATGGATTAATATTTTTATTGTAAATACATGACGTAAAAAAATAAATAAATGTTAAAAAGAAAAAAGGAAAAGCGCAAAAACTTTTACTCCCTCCATCCCATGTAATATGGATGTATTAGTGTAGACACAGGAATTTAGGTAAAATATAATTAGTAAGTAATTAATAAATATATTAGTAAAAATAATTATTATTTAGTAAAAATAATTATAGATTAAGATTAAGATAACTAAATAATTTAATTTAAAAATTTTAAATTTTAAAATATGATTAAAGTGTATAATTAATTTTCCAAAAAAAAAAAAGATAAATTATATGAAACGAACGAAAATAAAAAATAGAAACAAATTATATGAGACGGATGCAGTATTTATTTATTTATTTGTATCAAGCATACCCTACCTTAAACTGTGCCTTGAAATGAGGATTTAAGATTAGGACATCTGACTTTAAATTTTTGGTTGACTTCAAGAAGCAACTTCATGTTCCCACAAACTATATATATAATATAATATCATAGGAATCGACAAAAACACGTGCCCGAAATTAAAATTTATGTCAAGTGGATCCACTAGTTATAATAATGTCTACTTGTCATTTTTCGAACATGGATAATCCGCTTATCCGCTCAAGTCAATACTAATTTAACTGAATCAATATATATTATAGGAGTGATTAATATGTATTTATATTTATTTATGTATCTTCATGCTTGTTTTTATAGTATTTTTCATATAATTATCTTAATAATATAATATATATGAATAAAACTTATTTTTTTAAAAAAAAACAAATATTACACAAAAAATATTATTCTTTCCGTCACATAAATATAATTTTAATTGAATTGGACACATGATGAAATATTGATATTATATTGGTAGTTGGTAAAACGTATGGATAAAAATTTTTTTTTTTTGCCTTTGCAAGTCTATTAGTGTAAAAAGTAGTGGCAATTGTGTAATAAAAGTGAAAAAGTAATGGTAATTTTATGGTGATATGGTTATTTATGAAAATAAAACTATTATTTTGAGACGGATAAAAATGGTAACTATATTTTATTTAATTATTAATACTCCTATCTTTTATTGTTTGTTTTATTGGAAATTTAAAAGTAGGACTAGAATTTGAATAATAAAAATGAATAAATATTCAATATGATATAAATAAGTGTTCATGTGATGTCTAAAAGTTTTAATTAATTTTTTAATATAATATAAAAAATATTTGATTTGATATTTTAGATTGAAAATTAGTTAATAATGAGATTTGATTTAGAATTTGATTTTTATATTTCATTAAAAAAAATTCATTTATCACTCTTATTAAGAATGAAAAATATCAATTTGTTCAAATAATGCATGAAAATATACTAAAAGTGTCAAAATTATTGTATATTATAAATTTTTATATGGTATGATACCATACTAAATATTTTCAGTACGACAATTGCATATACTTTTAGCATTGTTGGTATAATATATACCGAAAATATCAATATAGTTTGATATTTTAGTATTTGATATATCGATCTATATCAATAATTTGATACTAAAATAATTAATTTTCTAATATATTCTTAAAATTGTAAAATTATTTTTACTTTTTATATTTCAGCGTAAAATATTATATTCTGATACCATACATATAATTCGATTAGAAATAACTCGATACTGTATTCAGATAATACCGAACTATATTGTATACCACACCAAGTTTTTTGGTATATTAAAAAAAATATTGATACCATACAAAAAAAAATCGGTATACTGAAATTTGAAATTTTCGGTATTTTCTAGAACGGTATTTGTTATTTCTGTAATTCAATATTTTTTTTATATATAAATTCGGTATACCAAATTATTGGTACAATATTTTATTACCATAAAATAGCATACTAAAATTTTTGGTATGATATATAAAACATGCGTTATAAATTTGATATTTAATATCGAATTATCCCTACCAATAATTAAATTTTGTTTATATTAAAATTTATAGTATTAGGGCTGTTATTTTTGTATTTAAATTATTAAAATTAATTTTTTTTTATCTAATTGCATAATTTACAATAAATATAATAATATTTTTTAAAATAAAACAATTCAATAAATAAAAAATTAAATTTAAATAAAATAAAATTTAAAAAAAAATATTTCAATTTTTATGTATGAAAATAGTGTTTGTTTGGAGGATTGGATTGGATTTACACTATTCATCCAATTTTTTTCCCCTAAAAACATCAAATCAAACACCTATTTTTCATTTTTTATGTTATATTAAAAATCAATTTTACATTCAAAACATCACATCAACACCTATTTATATCACATCATACAACTATTCAAATTCAAAATATTTACTGTTCAAATCCCAACTCAAAATTCAAACCCCCAACAAACACCCCCTTAAATGTGCTAAAGTTGAGGAAAATCCCTGTTAAATTATACTCTATGAAAAATGAGCATAGTAACCATTTTTGCCGTCAACACAAACAAATTTATTTCTAACGGCCATTATAATATTTTATCTATCTCAACTTAAATATCTTTTTTATTATTTTCCTCTTGTTTCATTTAAAAATATTAATTTTTTTATTTTTGTAAAGATACTCATAAACTAATATCAATATATTATTATTTTTTACTCAGATAATTACAAATAAAGTTACTTTATATATAAAGTCTAAGAGAAAAATTGCCAAAACCCCCTACAAATATTTTAGGAAAAAAAAATCAATTTTGGTCTCAATATCATCAAAATTTATCAGTTTTGGTCCAAATATAAAAAATTCATTAATTCTAGTCTAATTATAAACAAATTCTATCAATTTTGGTTCCACTATTAAAAAAGTAACAGAAATTGCTGACCTAGACGTAACGGAGGTGACATGGCAGCTAGGGGGTGACCAAAATATCCTAAATCCAAAAATCCGCTCCAAACCAAACCGAAATTTAAAATTTGGTTCGGATTTTTCGGATTGGTTCAGATTGAATTTTGACAAATTTTGAATTTTCGGATCGGATCGGATCGGTATACTTAAAATTCGAATCAATCCGAACTCCGAAATATAATATTTTAATATAAAAAAACTCAAAATTATTAATTATATTTTAATATATTTACTTTTATATATCATATATATATTTAATATTAGAAAATAATAATAAAATATAAAAGAAACTTACAAATTTAAAAATAATTAAAAATATTTAGAATTTCGGAATTTTTGATTTGTATTGAAATGTAAAATTAATTTTTAATACTATAATATACAAAAATAAAATATAGTTATGTAATTGAATGTTTTGAAAAGAATTTTTTTTGGTAAAGAGTATAATTTTAGATAAACTCTTCCGAAAAACATACTCGATAAATATTTATATTTGAACTAAAATTGATACATTTTAATTATATTATGATTATTTTTTTATTTTTTTATTTTATTCTAACTATATGAACTATTCTAAATTCAATATATATATGTGTAGAATTATACATGGTCGTGTAACAATATGATCATGTATAATTATACACTGAAATATATATGGACGTGTGACAACATGATCGTGTATAATTGTACATGACGTATAGTTTTCAGGTCAGCCACGTCACCTCTGTTATATCCACATCAGCAAATGCCGCTATTTTTTTTTAACGGTGAGACCAAAATTGATTGAAATTGTTTATAGTAAGACCAAAATTGATTGGAATTGTTTATAATAGGACTAAAATTGATGAGTTTTTTTATATTGGGACCAAAATTGATAAATTTTGGTTATATTAAGACCAAAAATGATTTTTTTTCTCTAAACTTAAAATTTAGAGAAAAAATAATTTTTTGTCCAATTCAATATCATAATTATCAATTTTGGTCATATTCAAAATTTTTTATCAATTTTGGTCCAACTCAAACGAAAATTTTTTAATTTTAGTCCCAAAATGGTTGATTGGGACTGAACAGGGCCGTGTTGGATGACTTAGAAGGTGACTGGGCGTCCTAGGCAGCCAACACGGCCATGTTGATTATCATGCACTTCTGAACATGGCCGTGTTGCTACCCTTGTTCTGAATACTTCCTGCTCACGTTCTTAATACAACCATGTTCTGGGCCATGTTCATGACCCTATTCCCAACACATTCATGTTTTATAGGCTACGTTCACGACCATATTTTCAATATAATCATATTGTAGGTCATTTTGTTTATTATTATTTTTACTTCTTAGTTAAAATTATTTGATATATATATTTATAATTTAACAAAAATATTTTACAAGTATTTTATAATATAAAAAATAATCAATTTTTAATATTTTAAAAAATAATTGAAAAATATAAAAATAATAATATATTAATATATATTTTTAATAATCATCGTTATATATATTTAATATCACAATAATATTTTAAAATTTTAGAAAAAATATCAAAATAAAATATATATTAAAAATAGTATTAATATATATATATATATTAATAATCATCATTATATATTTAATATCACAATAATATTTTAAAATTTTAGTAAAAATATCAAAATAAAATATATATTAAAAATAGTTTTAATATTAATATATTATTATTATTTTTTTTTTGCAATTAATTTTCTAAAATATTAAAAATTATTATTTTTTATTTTATGAAATAATCAATAAAAAATTTTAAATAAAACTTAAATTGATAATTATATTATTAAATGATAACATAAATAATTTTTTAGTCTTAAATTTATTATAAAATCCGAGAGAGATACATTAATTGGGGACGAAGTATATCTAATCAATAGAAAAATGTCAACATGGCTTAATCTTCTTCCTCATCACGTTGTGTGCTGCAGACACCATTTTAAAATATCTTATTTCTTCCTTTTCAACCATGTATATATATATATATATATATATACTCACTACACAATTCAGATTGGTTAGAACAAACTCACAGAAATAATTAATATTTCCCAATGGAGAAGAAATACCTCCTAATCTTCCCTTTCCTCTTTCTTCTCAATTCTGCAATAATCTTAGCTTCTCCACCTTCAATCTACGACGCCATTTTCGAATGTTTCCAAAACCACAAAATCCCAAAACCCCAAATTTCAGAAATCCTTTACAGCCCCACAAACCCTTCATTCCCAACCATCCTCCAATCCACCCTCCGGAACCGCCGGTTCAACTCGACTGCCACCCCTAAACCGGCCGCGATCGTAACTCCGGTCTCGGAATCCCACGTCAGCGCCGCCGTAGTCTGCGCCACCGCCGCCGGAGCCAACCTCCGAATCCGAAGCGGCGGGCACGACACCGAGGGCTCATCCTACGTCTCCGGCGAGACCTTCGTCGTCGTCGACATGACCAATTTCCGGTCCGTCGACGTCTGCCTGAAAGATGGCACCGCCTGGGTCGACTCCGGCGCCATTCTCGGCGAGCTCTACTACGAAATCTGGAGGAAAAGCAACGAATTGGCATTCCCCAGCGGCGATTGCCCCACCGTCGGCGCCGGCGGCATCATCTCCGGCGGAGGGTACGGTAACCTAATGAGGAAGTACGGACTCTCAATCGATCACGTGATCGACGCACGTGCCGTCCTCGCCGACGGGAGAATCCTCGACCGGAGGTCAATGGGGGAGGATCTTTTCTGGGCGATTCGCGGCGGCGGCGCCGCCAGCTTCGCCGTCGTTCTAGGGTTCAAAATAAAGCTGGTTCCGGTGCCGCCACTGGTGACGGTTTTTCAAGTTCAGAAAAGTTCGATGGAGGAGACAATCGAGGCTGTTTACAAATACCAACAGCTGTCTCGAACAATTGACGATGATCTTTTCATTAGGTTTTTTATTTGGCCGATCAATTCGAACAAGACGACGGTTGCCGGGACAGGCTTCATCGGATTATTCCTCGGCAATGCGACGAGGCTTTTGTCGATCATGGATTCTCAATTCCCCGAATTAGGGTTGAGATTGTCGGATTGCCGGGAAATGCCGTGGATAAATTCCGTTTTGATGTGGGCGGGGCTCAACGTCGAGGCGTCGCCCCGAGTATTGCTCAATAGGTACCGATAATTTTCTTCGATCATATATAGTTATTTTTTCGAGCACATTTTATATATATATATATACGATATAGGTTTAGTATAACAACGGTTAGAGTACTGAATAGTCGTAATCAGCACAGATTGACAATATTAATAATGCACGTAAGGCGTATTATTATTTATTTCAATATAAGGGAAATATTTGTATGGATATATTGTGTGTAATTAGATCTTAGATTTATGTTCTTGGAATCATATAGGCCTTAGATCTGTTTGCAATTGGTTTAATCCAAGTTACAAAATATAAACCCATGTGCATTTAGGCAATATAAAAAGGGTTTGTCTTGTTATTAGTAAAAACTACATACTTATTCGATTACACTGAAAGGGACATTGATCGGCTGTTGATCCGGTCAAGTTAAAATAGTGTTAATTTTATCAAATCAACATATGTTATAGCCGTGACCAACATATATTTATACACATCTCAACATAGTTATAATACATCATATATTATATTATAATATAATTTAGCATATGCTATTTTATAACATAAATGTATGTTGAGATATGTTTTGATTCCCCATATAGTATATGCTGATCCGGTCAAGTCAGCACCCTAGTGGCTTGGCCGAATCAGCACATGATCTGCAGTCAATTGAAAGTATATCTTTTATTATTTTTATCTGTCCAATTCAAAAGTACCTATTATAGTAAAAATAATTATATATTAATACCAAAATATTTTTTAATCTTTATATAAATAACAAAAATACTTTACCCATACAATTAATTTATAAAGTACCAAAAACAGAAATTTCAAAACTATCTTATACACTTTCATTAATCAATAAAATATTATTATTTCTTAATCTATTACAAAATTTCAAACGATCAATTTGAATTGGGACGGGATGGAGTTTATGTTTATACAAATCAAAATGATTTTTTTTTTTTTTGTTTTTTTTTTAAGTTTGGATTTAGATTTGGAGTTTGAAAATAGTAATTATTAAATTTAAATAATATTTTATGTGATATAAATAAATATTTGATATAATATTTTTAACTGTATAATTTTTTTTAAAGTATATTATGAAAAATATGTGTTTGATTTGATTGTTTAATAATAATAATAATAAAAGAATAATTGGACATTAAAACAAGATGATTGTATTTTGTTTCCTTTTTAAATCAAGTTCTGCATTATATATATTTATCGACATTATTTTGACTCTAAACTTAATTTCATCGACCACAGGAATCCCAACTCCGCTAGCTTTTTCAAGTGGAAGTCCGACTACGTAAAAACCGTGATTCCCAAATCCGTGTTGAAAACTATGTTTGACAAAGTAGTAGAGATTCGACATGTAGCTCTCGGATTCAATTGGTATGGAGGAGTAATGAGCCGAATTCCATCATCAGCCACGGCGTTCCCTCATAGAGCCGGGAACTTATTCAAGATTCAATATTTGTCGAGGTGGGACGAAGATGGCGAGGAAATTGCACAACAATACATCAACGCCACTAGACAATTTCATAGCTTCATGACACCTTTTGTGTCGAAGAATCCTAGGGAAGCATACCTTAATTACCATGATTTGGACCTTGGAATAATGAACAATTCGGCGCAAAGCTACGAGCAAGGTAGGGTTTACGGATTGAAGTATTTTAAAGATAATTTCGATAAGTTAGTGAAAATCAAGACTAAGTTTGATCCGAACAATGTGTTTAGGAACGAACAAAGCATTCCTATCTCTCCCTTTTAGGTAAGAGAGGATTTTAATGAATAATAAAAACGATGTCGGGGCCAAGTAGTAGCCGGATTGATTTTGTAGTTTATTTATGTAAGCACAATTTAGTATATTTTTATCTCTCTCTTTTTTTAAACATTTTATATAATCTCTATGTTATGTAAAATTATGTCTATTTGATCGGCCATAATTTTTTTTTAAAAAAAAATGGATAAAAATAGAATTTTTATTTTTTATTTTTATAGTAAATAAAATGTAAAAATGATATTTTTTATTGAAAAGAAAAATACGAATAAATTTGAATGACAGAAAAAAAAAATGAAAAAAAATTTAAATAACAGAAATAATAAATATTTTCGAAAGAACAATGAGAAGTTAAATACTCAAAATTTATATTAAGTGATTGTACATAACAACCCTTAATCATTGAGTTCTTTTAAGTCCCTTGGTTTCATGAATTCGAAGTTGAAGATGGATTTTAAATGGGTGAATTCGAATCATTTGTAATTTGAAATATTTTATCAATTAAATTTATTATTTGATTGTAAAAATATGCATTTATTATATTACATTCAAATATTAAAATAACATATCCAATAATTATTTCAATTCAATATTTTATTATATAAAATCAAAATCCCACAAACACACCCAATATTTTTTAAATTTTACCAAAAAAAAAAAAAAAAAAATTTAAATATTTTAGATGGACATAGAAAATATTTATTTTTCTTAGTATCTAAACATTGAAAAAGTATAGGTTTAAATTATTTATATTCACTTTTATATTTAAGCTTTCATAAAAAAAATATATATATATATATATATTGTTTTTTAAGTAAAAATCATATTTGTCCCATCCTAACTGAAAATATTCATTTTATTATTTTCGTTTGTCTTACTTAAAAATATTTCATCCGTCATATATCTATCTATCCATTTATTTTTTGCTCGGAATTCTAGAAATATTAGTATTATATTGAGATGTATTAAAAATAAAAGTAAAAAGACTAAACTACCCTTATTAGTATTGTATAATATAAATGTAACGATATTTGTGTAATATATTTTAAATTAGAAGGATATTTGTAATGTTAGGTAGATATTACAATTACTAAAAAATAAAATAAATACTTTGTTATGAGACGGACCAAAATGAAAAAAATGAATAGATTGTTAAAGGACGAAGGGAGCATTGATTTACTATTATTGTAAAAGTAATCACACACGAATACCACATTATCTTTTATTTTTTACATAAATTACAAATATACTATTATATATACAATTAATCTATTGTAAAGTACAAAGGGCAAAAAGATACAAGTATCTTAAATATTTTCCACTATCTAATAAAATATTATTGTTTTTTAATCTGTTATAAAACTCCAATTGACCATTTGAATTGGAATGGAGCGAATACTATATTTTATTACTCCCTCCTTACACTCATAAGTATATATATTTATATTTTGAATTGTCCGATTACAAAGTAACCATTTAAAAAATACTATACTTTTTCCCACTAATATTCATATTTTACCGTTATATCATTACTTTTACACCAAAAGGTAAAATTTTCTTTATACTATTTTTTACTATTCATTCTAATTATAATACTATTATTTTTTAAACTATGCGCAAAAAATAAATATTTACTTCGGAGGAGAAATTTTTTTTTTTTTTTTTATTACAAAAGGTAAAAAAAGAAAGAACACTTTATGCCCAAAAATATAAGCATATATATTTGAATGAAAAAAGTTTTGGTATTATTTTTATCATTATTATTATTATTATTATTATTATTATTATTATTATTATTATTATTATTTACTCCATCCGTCTAGTCACAATGACTCATTTTTATTTTGTGTCCATCGTATAAAAGATACCTATTTTTATTTTTGTAAATTTATTATCTTAAACATACTTAATAAACATAAATCAATTTAATTGAATTTCTAACTTCTTATACATATTACCCACTCAAAATCCCTTTATTTTTATATTTCTCCTAAATAAATAAATATTTTTATTTATATTTAAAATTTATCATTTTTTATAAAATTGTTTTTAAGTTAATAATAAATAAATAAATATATTCTTTTATTTATTTGTATTAAAGTTTTTGTATATACGGTAATAAGAGGGAGTAAAACTAAAGGGTGATGGACCGAGCCCCTAGAACGGGCCAACTCATTCGGCCCAATAAAAAATGTCTCAACGATTTCACGGTCCAAAATAAGACTATTATTATTATTATTATTATTATTATTATTATTTAAAAATTATGAATGACATAGTACACTATTTTTAATCAATGTCTTGTACTATATATAACGACAAGCATGCATGCATGCATGCATGTACTACGCATGTGAATACATCATTGCAACTTATTCTTCTATGGAATATTACGAAGATATTGGTGCCTTTTTATTTTTTGATAATAATAATAATTTAAATGTGATATTTTGTTAAAAAATTATATACTCCATCTGTTCCATTGAAAGGTTGTCATTTTTTATTTTTGTCCGTTCCAAAACAAGGTTACCATTTTCTAATTTAGTAATTGTACTACCTACCTAACATAATAAATACCCTTCCAACTTACATTATATTATACAAATGTCATTACTTTTATATTACACAATACTAATAAGGGCATTTTTGTCTTTTTCATTATAATTCATTATAATATTAATATTAAAAAATTTACGTGCAAAAAGTAAACGACAACCTTGCACCGGGACAGAGGGAGTATATTTTTTAAATAGTTATTCTATGTGATATTTGTGATAAAGTTGTTCTACTAATTCTATTTTTTATTGTACAGTTTCATTTCAATATTGCTTTGGGTTTCTGTTGTAGATAAATAATTAATGGTTGCGTTTTCTTAATAGTTCGAACTTTTAGGTGGGACGATAATTCTGTATCCGACATGATATCAGAGCCTAGGCTAGGTCTCGAATTCGAGTCCGTCCGTCCGTCCCTATTTGCGGCATATGCATTTGCAAGTTTCGCAGACCCCACTTACACCTGATAAAGCTGCGTCTCGCTAACATGGCTTTTCTTTGTATAGATATTTTGGCTTTTTACAAAATGTTTAAAGTATTTGTTTATTGTCTTACTTATATTTTATTTGAACAAGAAAAATATTTTTTTAGAAATATTTTGTGTTACAATTTAATAGTGAAATACATATACATATACATATATTTTATTTATGTGAGTAATTGTACGTACATTTGTATATGGAATCACTTTACTTATTGTTAAAGAGTTTTGCAAGATTAGTGGTGGAAAAAAAGTATCGAAATATCACATATACTGAAATTTAAATCAATTTGACGTATGATTTTTCGGTATATCGGTATATTAAATAAGTGTGTACATGTAATTTTTTTTTTAATTTTTGTGTTTTGGGATAAATATATTTATTTTATGTTAGGCATGAAGAATTATAACGGTGCTATAAAAAATAAAATTTTGTATTAAATTGTTAACTTGTGGTGAACGAATAAAATGTATAAATTATATATATATATATATTGTGACAAATATGTGTATATATTTATTATTATTTTTTATAGTATTTATTGACAATTGTTCAACAAAAAAAAAAAAAACACAAAGTAAACAAGTTTTCTTTAATAAATTCTAAACACAAAACTCAACTCCTTAAGTATAAGTGAACAAAATTGATAACCAATGTATTTTTATGTTTTTTTTTATTCATTTTAAAATTGATAAAATTTTAAGTGAAAATAGATATTGTTAATAATATTTAAAAGAAAAGATAATACTTCCTTGTCCCCTTTAATTTGTCGGTTCTTTCTATTTCTGTCATTCCCATATAATTTATCATTTTTTTTGAAAAATATAATTATATACTTTAATCATATTTTAAAATTTTTAATTTAATTAAAATATTTAATTATCTTAATCTTAATTTATAATTATTTTTACTAATACATTTTATAATTACTTACTAATTATATAATATTTAAAATTGTCTACCTAAACTAAAAGAGACAAATTAGGTAAGATAGAATAACAAATATTGATAAAAAGAAAAAAATAAAATTGAAAACATATGGTAGTAAAAGATCACATATCACATCCCAAGAAACATAAAGCATATAAAATTGTACAGCACGCTGGTGTACAGCACAAAGCATATATATATATATAGAGAGAGAGAAAGAGAAAGGGTAGAGAGAGAGTGCATGTGTGCTCAGAGAAGATGAGGTATTATATTCCAAGTTTGGGGAGAGAATATAATCCGCTTTCAGGACACTCTGTTCTCAACACAATTCAAAAAGCAAGGTGCATCCATATATATATATATACTCCACTCTGTCTCGTAACTATAATTTGGGTTCTATTCGATATGAAATTTAAAAAATATTAATATTATATTAATAGTAGGTAAAAAGTATGGATAAAATTTTTTTTTGCTTTTGAAGTATATTAGTGTAAAAAGTAGTGACATTGTATAATAATAATAAAAAAATAAGGGTAGTTTTATAGTTATATGATTATTTATGTAAATGAGATAATTGTTTTGGGACGGACAAAAATGGTAAACAAGACTATTGTATTGGGACGGAGAGAGTATATATATACTTCGTATATTATACTCACTTCAGCTATAAAATATACATATTTTTATTTTGGGGATATCCAATTACAAAGTAAACATTTTATTAAATACCTTTTTTTTTTTTTTTTTTTTTTTTTTTTTTTTCACAAATACCCTTATTTTACATCACATCGTTATTTTTACACCAAAAAATAATTAAGAGCAAAATACTATTTTTAACTACCCACTATAATTAAAATACTATTATTTCTTAAACATCACGCCAAAAGTAATTGTATACTTTATGTGTAGACGGAGAAATTTTTTTCAATTTTATTATTCTCATGACACTTTTTTATTTTGAGTAAAATTTAAAAAATTAAAATATATTTAATAAATATAAATTAACTTAATTAAGTAGATAAGTATATAATATCATATATTATTTAGGCTCAAAATTTATTTTATTTTTATCTCTTCTAAAAAATAAATATTTTTATATACATTTAAAATTTCACTATTTTTTAAAACTTAGTTTATAGTATTAATTATAAACCAATAAACCTATTTTTTTTTACTTGTGTTATATAAGATTTATTTTTTACAAAATGATATAGTTTCTAAAATATTTAAATACATATTATAGTTTTTTTTTTAATTATATATGAATATATATTCTTTATATGTATTATATCTATATTGAATATATTATTTATTTGCGATATAATTTCTAAAATATTTTAATACATATTATAATTTTTTTTATTTATATATATTAAAATTACTTTAAAACTATCACTATTATTAATCACATAAAAAATAGTAAATAATATTATAATTCAACTAATTAAATATTATTGCTTTAGGGCATTGATCAACAGCGGATCCTGCCAAATTTGACGGGATCAACATATATTACACCACGCACGGCCAAATGATAAAAATAACGACTTTTGTAAATATGTATAATATATTTTGTCAACGAGATAAATACAGGATAAAAGTGATAATAAAGTATACATGTTAGATATTTTTTGTAAATTTCTCCCCTAATACCCATTGACTACCAAATAAATCAGCTGATAAAAGTTTTTATAGTTTTATTAAAAATTAAAAATATTTAGTATATTATGTTTTTATAAAAAAAATATATACATATTAAATATGGTCTTTTAAAGTTATCGTTTATTATTAATATCAAAATTTTCAAAAGTATTTGAGTAAACAAAACATTAAGTTTTTTTTTTTTTAGATAAAAAATTCCTAAATTTTTTAAAAAAATTAAAAAAAATAAAAATTTACAATTTTATATGATGTAAATTGGCATTATATGTAATGTTGTAGTCTTTATGTAGCAAGTGTATTTAATTTTTATTTATTTTATTTTATTTTATTTTAATATTAAAATATTATTATTTTTTAATTCTCGTGTTCGATTAAATTTATATAATTTTACCGGACTGAAAAAATAATTAGATTTGGTGGGTTTTTCTGCCCAAGGTCACTTTATTGTTACTTGTTAGAAAATTGAGTTGTTCGAAAAATTCTAATACGAGAGAGAATAAACATAAAGAAATAGTAAACGTGCAGAAATAAAGGTGGCAAAACTTCCACATAAACAACAACATTAATCGTGCATTAAAAATGTTAGAATAATTTACAATTATTACAGACATTGGAAAAACGACAATAATTATAGCCATACACATCATTTTTTACAATTGTTCTTTTATTTATTTTTTTTACTATTAAAAATATTAATATTATTTAAAAATATTATTCAATATTTACTTTTTATTCAAGTTATTACATTCAACCATTATTTTACCTAAATAAATATATACATATATATATTAAATATTAAGTAAACAAAATAGTATTATCTCTGTTCAGCTCTGATGGTCTCAATTACATTTTACGTCATTGTATTTAACATAAAAAATAATCTTTACATTTGTATATCTTTTTGCACAAATGTCATTATAATAGTATTATAAGATATCAATGGAAGTATTTTTGTTATTTTCTCTTTATTTGTACTACGTTTTCATATAATAATTAATATAAAAAAACAACACATAAAAAATAAATGAGATCCTTAGAGCTGGACGTGTATATAATTTAAGTTTTGACTAAATCCTAACAAACTCTGTACTTCTTTGGTTGTGTTTTTGTTGTTTGATGCAATTTGAAAATAATAAAAATTGAAATTGAAATGATTAATTGATGTGATATTATTAGGGTTTTGATGTAATATTGTTTTAAATAAAAAATTATATTTGAAATTGATGTTTTGATTTAGATTTTAATTTAAATAGTATTTTGAGATGAGATTCTTATAAAAAAAAAATAATAATAAAAAAATTCTATTTAAATATGTGATGATGATTCTATTTGAAACACAAACCAAAAACACGATAAATATTTGATGCAATATTTTCTTAAGAAAATAAATAAAAATGATTGCAAATAAATATTAAAATCGTGTTGTATTTTTAAATACAACTAAAAAAACCCTAACATTGTCTTTATGAGTTCTTTACCTAGCTCTTCGATTTCTTCCCATTCGTTCTAATCTTTGATCATTTCTTCAAGAACAATAATTTCTTTCGAGTGCACCTCACCAAATCATATTGAAAAAGGTCACATTGGTTTTTTGTCATCTCCCCTACTTCTCTCAAACATCTTCACATCGATAATTATTGTTTGCAACTTGCTAGACTCCTCAATTTATATTCATGGTCGATTTGAAGTGAAATAAAAATAAGCTCCTAAATAAAATATTTCCTTTTTTTTTTTTTTTTCTAATATTAGGGGTTTGAACTCATCCACCAAGCTATATGGTAATATTTTACTTATATCAAAGAAATTATTTCTATATATATATTACATAAATATATAATGTGCCTCCTATTTATATTGGGCTTTGGGCGTGCGCCCCTCTTGTTGAGCCCATGTCGGTCCTAATCATATTCAAGTAAAAGGTAAAAAGCTTTTACTCCGGTAGAATTATTCATAGTTTCTAATTATAACTCTACAAACCTCTCGTGATTCCACCTTATGAATCTTTTCTCCAATTTCTATACGTATTTCATTCATATCATATGCATATCATGTTAGCCTCTATAAGAAACAAGTAAACAATACCCTTATCAAAAGAGTTCGATTACTTGGTGCTATCTCGATCCATTGTAGTTGCCATGTACTCTTGCACCATTTTGTGCTACGGCATTGCACCAAATCACATCCAGTTATTTTCCGAAAGAAAACTTTTATATTGTGTACTTTTATATTGTGTTCTTTTGTAGGTTTTACTACAACTTTTCACTATTAAGATTTATTTTTTTTCTTAAAAGATATCACATCAAACAATTACTTTTCTTTTTCTATATTATAATACAAATTTTACATTCAAAACATCACATCAACCTCTATTTATATCACCTAAAAAAAACTATTTGAATTCAACTTTCTACTATTCAAAAATCTAAACACAAAAACTAAAACCCACAGACAACCAGACCTTAAAGTCTTAATCTTCATAGTTTCAATCTTTCTTCAATTCTTTTTTTTTTTTTTTTAATAATCAATACTTGTGGCTAGCTATGATATATACTACTTGTTGAATAATCATAATACATGATTTGATGTAGTAGCATATGATAATGATTAATACAACACATATTAATATTTTACACATAATATATTGGTTTAATTTTAATTGTATCTTGAAAAATTATTGCTCTTGTGTTGCCAACTCCTTTTTAGTTCTTTATCGGCAATTATTTATACTTTAAAATTTAAAAAATATTAAAACTAATCTTCTTGCATATGAGGGGACCCATCCTTCAAATCATAATTTCAATGTTCTCTCTCAAAAAATATATATAATTTTAATATAGAATACATATTATTATGCTCGGTCTGATGTTTATCCAATGCATACTTAAAAAAATAGGAATAGTGAAGTCCCACGATATAAAAAATAGTAAAATATATCTAATTATAATAATCAAAAAAAATGATCAATGATAACACAATGTATATTAAATATACTATATTGTGGTATTAAAAAATTTAATAGTACTAAAATACACCATTCAACAAATTTCATATATAGTTAAAAATATTTCCCTTTGTAGTTCAACAATTTTTTATATCATTCAACAAATTCTTGTATATAATTCAACAGATTTTACATATTATCCAACAAAATTAAACTTGACATTAATGTTTTATACCGTTCAATAATTTCTTTGTGGTTTTAGCTACAAATATAAATTATTAAACCATTATCACGGCTGTTGGGGTGCAAACCCAAGTCCAGCATTGGGAGCTGTGAAGAAAATTCTATACTTTATAAGTTTCAAGTGAACTCCACTAGTATGAGGTCTTTTGGAGAATATAAAAAAATAAATCCGTATAAGTTCAGTCCAAAGCAGACAATATCATATTAGTGTTGAGTTGACCCAATCCCAACAGTGATATCAGAGCGGACCTTGACGCTGGTGACGAACGAAGCCACAAAGTAGACATGTCGTCAAGGATGATCAGGATGATCATGTCCTAAGGTAACTGGACATCCCAAGGAGGGGGAGTATGCTCGACGTTGCTGATAGGACCAAGAGGGCCGAGCTTTGTTCATGAGGGAAAAACCACGTTAAGGACGATCACCGGGCGAAAATCGCACAATTCTCGATATAAGACTTACAAGGTGTGGAATTTTCTTCACAACTCCCAGTGTGGGACTTGAGTTTGCACCCCAACAACGGCAATATTTTTATATCGATCTAATAGAATTTATTTTTTTTAAAAAAAACAAATCCATAATCTTCGATAAAATAAAAAAAACACACACAAAAAGGAAAAATGTATCAGTTAAAACATAAATTAACAATGAAACAATTTATGTAAAAGTACAAAGGATCTACACCTACTATGAAATCTTTTAAAAAAATTTAAAATTAACTAATGATATTATTAATCTAATCACTAAGCTGAAATCAATGTGAGAATAATATTAATAAATACAGGCAATAAAATAAGTCGAACAGGTTGGGGTTGGTATTAATTTAATTGTAGATTATCTGAAATATCTATATATTAAATTATATTCATGTGTTAGGGTAAGATTAAAATATTTAAAATTGATGAAGATCAAGAAATACAAAAGGCTGTTACTTTCATGCTCTCTGTTTATTCAGAAGTTGTGCTTTATTGGCATATTCCAACACAAAAAATTCCTTTTATTTTGATTTTTTTTTCTAATTATTTTATTATACAACACTCACAATTTTCTATAAAAATATATTCAAATTCAAATACAAAGGTAAAGTAAACAAGCCAAAACTTTCTAATTTTTCTTGCTACAAAATTGAACTTCAATTTCTAATAAAATTATGAACCCTAGGAATGAAATATTTGGAGAGGTCTTTCGGAAAAATAGCTTAACATATCCTCTAATTCTTACTACTTCAATTTTTTAAAAATAAAATGAAAAATCAAAAGATCGGCTTATTAAAAATTTTAATTAGGACATCTTTTTTCTTCAATTTCATATCTTATAATGCATCGCTCTTATATAAACAAACAAAGTTTCACATTCTATATCTCGACTAAATATTTATAAAAAGAAAACAAAAATCTCCAAACAAGTGTTCCAAAAGCATCCTAACTAAAGAAAAATTTCTGTAATTAAATTGGACAAGAATTTACCTGGTGATGTAGCAAAATCGATAGTCGAAACCGAATTTCTTTTTCTTTTTTTCTTTTTTTTTTTTTTTGGGTGTGTGTGTGATGTATCTTCACTTCCATTATCATTATCATTTAATCAAAATTAAAACAAAGGACACCCTACATAGGAACAATGAGATTGAATTCATCATACTTTAAATCACTTATATATGTATATATATATATGTAGAGAGAGAGAGAGATGCACACACACAATGTGTGTATGTATATGCTTGGCTCCTCATACGCCATCCGCCGAGTTCCATCGATTCTCCGATGAGCACTACAGATGGCATACAGGGAGCCAGGCATATATATATATATATATATCTATATATACATACATATCTACAACACTTTCAAAGATTTCATCTTGTGTAGAATTTCTTACACTTACACACACAAACACACACATATATATATATATATATTTCTCACTCCTTAATTCATGCAAGAAATCCCCAAAGGTAAAGAAGCTTGAACTAAGATTTATTACAACAAAAACAAAACAAACAATTTGATTATAAAACAGTGAAAGGATCAGAAAGACAGCAAATTTCCAGAGAGAGAGAGAGAGAGAGAGAGAGAGAATTAGGGTTAGTGTGCTAAAAAAATACACAGAGACATGGATTGATCACACTTTGTGAAGAACAAACAATATATTGAAAATCACTCACTTTAATTTGTCCAGATCGATCACATATATAAGAAGAGACAAAGATGCATCACTCATCAAAAAAAACTCAGCCCTCATAACCCTCAATTTATAATCCCTAATTTAATTTGATTTATGAGATCTGAGATCATGACTTTAAAGCCATAAAAAAAAAAAAAGAAAAAAAAAAGAAGCCATGGTCAGATGCAAACCAGTGGCTCACCTCAAGAAAAGGCATATAGTAGCTACGAGGAGGTCTTAATTTGGGCATGTAAATATATACATATATATATAGAGAGAGAGAGAGATAGAGAGAGAGATAGAGAGAGAGAATAGGGCTATGTTGTGTCCACGCAATTTCCTAAACTTTTTGAAGGTTTGAATTCTTCTTTTTATATATATATATATATGTATATATTATTTTAGTTTGGTTGTGTTTTTGGGGTTGTAAAAGCAAAGGTTGCTTTTTTATTCTTCTGAAGCTCCTTTGTCTTGGAGCGTTTGGACGACATGGATTCCTTTATCTTTTATTTTATTTAATTTAAATTTAATTATTTTCTATTGTTCAATTTTCATTTATTAATATATAAAGTAAGTGTGTTGGATTGGGGAGATGAAAATTTGAATTTCATTTCCAAAACAATAACTTGTATTTTGATCAAATTGTGGGTGTGTTTTTTTTCTCTCCGGAGTTTTCAATTTTAATTTAAATAGTAATTTGATACTATTATTTAATTTTTTTTTTAAGTTGATTTTTAAATATTAATTATTATATTAAAGTATATTATAAATTTAAAAAAATTACAAAAATACTTTCTGTCTTATAATATTAATTGGATAATATTTGTACAAAAAATTATACAAATATAAAGATATTTTTAATGTTAATTACAATGACGCAAAAGATAAATGTAACCCTTAAAGGAAGACGGATGGAATATTATATTTTGCAAAAAATATAATTTTTTTGGACGACAACAAATGGGTGGTGGTGGAATTCGAACACAGTAAGTTCCGACTCTTATACTATATTAGATGACTGTATCATTTAAAAATTTAAGCCAAAGTGATAAATATAATTAATTATCACTCTATATTGTGGGAGTCAGCAAATAATTCAACATGTATTTAAATTTATTTCGAAAACATTATACACGATCATTATTTTTCATGAAAATCTTTCTTATTTTACTTAGAAAAAATATCAACTAAACAATCTCATAATTAATAATGATACATCTACACTAAACATTCTTTAGGGTTTACAATAAAGTATTGGTTCTTGGTGTAACTTAAACAATACATCTTGATCTGTTTTCTTGGAGTTTAATTTTAATAATTTTTATTATATAATAATTATAACTTTTTCTAAATATATATTTTTATAAAGCATTACATACAAATCATTATTCAAATAAAAAAAATCAAAATAATACACACTTTATTTGTAGTTGTTGTAGTTAGTTGTTGTTATTATGATATGCTGACTCAATTCAGTGTTGTCTTGATTTTTGCTTTCTTCTCTTTTTTTGGATGGATTTTCATATATTCTCTAAACTTTACTTTTGACAAAAGATGAAATATTCTCTTTCTAGAAAAAAAAATAATAATAAAGATTTATTAAATATAATTTTTACCATAATTATTTATTTATTTGTTTAGTTCTTCTACATAACTTTGGAATGTGTCTTCCTAAGTAGAAATAAATATATAATGAGAATCATCTTAGTAATCAATCCTATTAAGCATTTAAAAAACACACATATATATACATATGTATATATATTACTTTGAAATTTTAAATAAAATAAACTTTGGGTTTTTTTATTTATGTTTTGATTTTATTTCAGTACTTTGAGGTAAAGATCAGCATATAAGATTCATAGTAACTTTTTTGGATATCAAAGATTTACAACAATAATGTTTATATAAAGTACCAAGATAGTTCTTTTTTTGTAATGAACAATCTCTCTCTCTCCTTCTCTCTCTCTCTATATATTAATATACATACAACTATAGTTCTTGAAATATAGATCAATATATATATATATATGATATTGTGATTTTTGTTTTGCGCAAAAGCTCGAAATATTTTGATATGAGTGAAAGTTAACATCCCTATATACGCAACATGATTTGCCTTGTTCTATCGATGGTTAGCCAATAACTTTTATTGGCCTATACGATAAAAATCACAATTTTGTACTGATACCATATTAAGCTGTCGTGAGTTAAAATTTTGGGATCGAATGTAATGAATTATAAGTCTGATATATATCTACTATATCTATATATATATATATATATAACCAAAGTTGCACTTTTCTCTGCAAATTATTAATATGTGAAAAAATAAATGTAATGATAATAAGCATGGCAAGAGATGAAGGCCTGAGAATAACACATTTAACCTTATATGATGTCCTCTTTTTTTTTTTTTTTTTTTTTTTTTTTTTTTTTTTATGGCGTGGGAACCCGCAGTCGCTACCCGAAAATACGGACTGGGTAAATTTTCGATCGAACTTAATATTCTGCAAATTAGACTCGACAGACAAAACACACTAGGCGAACCATGTGTCACAGTTTAATTATGATGTCCCCTTGAATGGTCAATGTCTTGTGAAGAATCTTTCCCCATCAATGAGAGTGTATTGTGTTTAGTTGCTAATTTTTATTTTTATTTTTTTGAAAGAAAAAATTGTATATTTTCATAATAAATCATGAAATTTGAATAAATAAAAATAAAAACTGTCAAGTAAACATACTTAGATTTGCTAATACAAATTCAAATATTGACATCATTTATGATTACACTATGAAACTGCCTCATTTAGGACGTGTTTGATTGTATATTCAAATATTAGTACCACTAAAATTAAAAAAGAGAAATATTACCCAAAATATATGTCAATCTTAACCTTGATTTTATTTAAAATATATTTTGGGGATTTTGATTTTGGATTGTGATTTGCTTAGTATAAATTTTGAATTTGAATAGTTGTATGATGTGATATAAATAGGCGTTGATGTGATGTTTTGAATCTAAAATTGATTTTTAGTACTCCCTCCGTCCCATAACTATATATCCGTTTGCTTTTTGCACGGAGTTTTAGAAATATTAGTATTATATTGGGATGTAGTAGGAATAAAATAGAAATGATTAAAATAACGTTATTAGTATTGTGTGATATAAAGGTAATGACATTTATGTAATATACTGTAAGTTGTAAGGGCATTTATAATGTTAGGTAGATAATAGAGTTACTAAAAAGGGAATGTATACTTTGTTATGAGACAGACTAAAATGGAAAAATAGATACTTTATTATGGGACAGAGAGAGTATAATATAAAAAATAAAAAATATGTGTTTGATTTGATATTTTTGAGGAAAAAAACGAGATAAATAGTGTATTTAAAATCCAATTCCCCAAACAAACACCCATATGTTCACCCAATATATTTTTGAATGACACGATTCTCTATAAATATTATAAAAAATTCAATATATGCATTTTAACATAATTTATAGAGTATTATATATATTCTATTCACTTAAAAAAATTCTAACTCTTCAACATAAAATATTATCTTTTTATATTATCGGCATAATTTTTTATATCTAACATAAAATACGCAATTCATCCAAAAGTACAAAATGAACACACACAATATATTCTTTTAGAGTTTGATTTTAATTTTTATTTTTAAACAGTAATATGAATGCAATATTTTATAATAATACTCATAGTTATCTAATTAAAAGAAAAAAAAAAATAGAAATCTTCCAAAGAAAATAACTATTCCATCAATATATATATACACGCCTATAATAAAAGTGTAAAGTACACATGAAGGGAGCCTTAACAGGTTGGAAATTGTAAAAGATAATTATATTGTCCACTATCAAAAGAAATGAAAGCAACATTCAAACTAATTAATTTCTTTTTGAAAAAAAAATATATATACAATTTTCACTTTTAATCTCTTTTAATATATGCAAATCCATAATATATATATATATATTAAATTATTCTTGTTTAGTTTACTTTTTCATTTTTTAAAAAATTTTAAATAATATAATTATCAATTTTTTGTTTTTGAGAAAAAATAAAGCGATTCGATAGCTTTTAAAAAAAGATCAAGAGTATGTTTTTATAGATTGAGTTTGAAAAAATTTGGTTTGGATTTCGTATTAACATAATGTTTGATATGATGTTCTGTAAGATAAAAAATTGTATATTTTTTTTTGTTTTGGAGAACACAGAGTCCAAATAGTAAATTTTTTTGAAATTTTGGTTAAAAAATCTTACACAGAGTGCGTCATTTAATGTTTTTTTTATATATATATATATAAGTAAAATAATTATTAAATGTAATATTTTGTATAAAATATATTGGCTCTGTTCATCCAAGATTATTTTTAAATTACAAATTCTTAAAAATAATAATAACTAATACAAAATACTTTTTATAAAAGTCAAAAAATTAAAAAGAAATAAATTTAAATATTCATTTAAAAAAATAAAAAATTAATATTTCATTATTATTTTCATTCAACATTTATATATAAAAAATAACAATAACTTTATTACATTGTCTTTTCCCATTCTTTTCAATTACTAACTAAATTTTTAAAAAATATCCACAACTATATTATTACTTTTTTTTTTATTCATTTTTTTAATAAAATATTTATATTTCTTCTTTTTTGGGCCAAACCCAAATGAGCTAAATATGACGAAGGAAAGAAGTATATTTTAACATAATTTTATATATCACACATAAAAAATCAAATATATTTAAAAACATTGGGTGGACAGAGCCCTTGAATACAGGGACGGAACTACACTAGGATTTGGGGGTGGGGGGTCAACCCTCCAAACCAATTTTTTTTATGATTTTTTTAGTTTTAAAAATATTAATTTTTATGTATTTATATATATTTTGTCCCCCCAAAACTATCTAAATTCATATATAATTCTGTCATTATTATTTATTTAAATTTATTAGCTAAATATTAAATAAATTATACTCCCTCCTCCGTCCCACATACCGTGTCTGCTATACATTGTAGACACGGTATTTTAGGAGGGGTGTAATTAGTAGATAATTAAGAATGTATTAGTGAAAATAATTATCCTATAGTATAAATAATTATAAATTAAGATTAAGATAACTAATTAGTTTAATTAAAATTAAAAATATTAATTAAAAATTTTAAAATGAGATTTAAGTGTGTAATCATTTTT